GTGCCCCAAAAGAAAAACAATCATGTTAGATGGTGTCTCCCCTGTTGAATATATTGACGCTATGGGGTTTCATGGCGCTCCTCAGTTCCGATCCAGCAAATGCGCAAAGAGTAGTGAACATACACAGCATCTTTATTCAAAGAAATGCATAGTGAAAGTATACAACATCTTAATTTAAAATATCAAACTTCAAGTTTATGAGTTTCCTTCCTTTATTCCTCCAGATCACCACTATTTCATTTAATACATACTCTTTTTTTTTAAAAAAATTGATATACATTAAAATTTTAATTATTATTATTAATATTAAGATATTTATATAGAATATTTAATAAATATATGATAAGAAAGATGCATAATTTTTCTAAACATTAAAATTACACATAATTCTTTTAGAATTGTGGAATAGTTAGTTATACATTAGTCAACAACAACAACAACAACAAGCCTTTATCCCACTAGGTGGGGTCAGCTACATGGATTGCAAGACGCCATTGTGCTCTATCATTTATTAAGCTTTTAATTATACATTACTCATTAAGTCTAAATTTATTTGAGGCAAGGCTCCCAACATCAAGTAAAGTTAACTTGCATTTAAATAATATAATAAATTATATTTATAATTTTATTTTGGAAAAGACAAGTCATTAGGCAACCCATCCTAGCGCCTCATCAATTCAGGAATCCTTTACACGTCTTCCTTATTCTTCCTTCGATCGAGGTGCCTATTCTCGGAATACGAACACATATTCGTATACGTACACCATGTAAAATATACAGGTTTTTCTTTCAAAATTAAATTTAAAATTAATTATCCAAGTTCAGAAGAAATAATTGTATAGAAGATAACATGAGCTGGTCATAAGTAATAGTTTTTTTTTTTTTGGGCCAAGTACTGCAATAGTTGATAAGCCAAGCATATCTTCATGAGGCAGTTGTTCTGCAATCTGGCCATTATAATGAAAAACATATATTATAATTTTTTTTTCATAATCCTAATAATGTTGTAATATGATTATAATTCACTTCCAATCAACTAAATATGGACTAGCATTTGTTTCACTTTTTTCGGCAAAAACTTTGATTTTTTTTTATTTTTAAAAATCTCCCGTTGCATACAACGGCAAATATGAAACCTGATCGTATCGTGAATTCCAAAGGTGCGTAATATCGTTTCGGTAGTGAAACGGGTCGGTGGACTTGAATCCTGTATTAATTGTCATGTCAAACACAACGCGATCGATCAGAATGAAGATCAAATTTTACGTTTGCATTTCCAGTCTCGTGTTAACAGTACCATGCAAAATTCCTGCTCTCCTGGTAATTGTGAAGAAGAAACATTAGAAGCACACACTAGACTGGACGTTGCTGATTAATTATTTTATTTTAGTTTCTAATTTATGTATATGTATGTATGTATAACCAAAAGATAGAAACTCAGACACATTTTAATATTTTATTATTAGTAATTCTACGGGGATGAAGATTAACCGAACAAGTTGCAGCAATATATATTTAACTCATGGAGATAGTTATCTAGAGAAAGATCCCCTTCTGTGTATGTAGTCCTCTAACTGCTTGGATTGAAAGCATTGCAATTCTTCCGACCAGAACTTCAAGAACTTCAAATTTCCCCATCTTTATGATTGCATCCGCCCGCGAAATTCTCATGGAACTTGTCGCGATTGAACGCAAAATTAGAGGCGACGAAACCCCTCGTAGAATTGTCCAATGCAATTCGTTGGTCAAGCCGCTCTTTTGACAAGTATGATCTGTTCATAGAACTGGTTATCAAACAGGAACTGTACTCCTTTGGTTCAAGGATACAAATAGCTTTTCTTTTTCCGTTGTATATTGGGTTACACAACCTGACCAGCTTAGCATATAAGGTTCCGTCCATTGTGGGATCGGGGGGGTTTGATAGTGGGCAACCCCAACTGTGTGCGCACCCAAAAGGTCACCATTTCTTACTCTGTGAATCCCTTTTTAGCGAACTTTTGTGATGCTTCAGAAACAGACATATTCGGCGTTGCCAAATTTTTCTTCACTTCATCAACATCAAACTACCCAAACCCATTGCCTCTTCCTGTAGGAACTTCGTACTCAATCGGGTCCTCCAGACATTAATGCCAGGGCATCTCTGGTGGCCAGTGTTACGATTGATGCCTCAGCTCATGATACTGTTGAAGGACATGCAGCTTCAAGGCTTCCTTTCACCTCATCAATCAGATTGAATCCTTTAACTCTCGTACTTGGTAATGTGTCTTTCTCTGGTTCGTTGTTCCCAGAGGAGTTTTTAAGTACGGACGAATCACAATCCTTCAACAAACAAACAAACAAGAATGGTAAAGACATGTGAGAAAATAATGCTCATTAATTTGTTGGGGAATATTGATTTTGAAAATGGATGAGTTAACTTGATAATCTGACAAAACAGTCGTGAAAGTGATGCGAATCAAATCAAAGCTGCGGTTATGGAGTTATGGCGCTGTTGAATTGCTTCTGCACCACTTGTTGAACAAATGGACTCTGCTTGTGGCCAAGTTGAGGTATAGAACCCAACCTGAAGGTCACCAAATGCGAAAGGAACTAGTACAACGAAGCAGATCATCAAGATGGGATGGGATCTTGATCATTTTCGGAGTTCTTTTACTTTCTGAATTACTTGTTCACTCTGTGAATGTGGTTTTTGCGTGCTTCGCAGCGAAGGGATTTGGATGTGCACATACACGCACACATAGAGGGAAAGAAGGGATGCGGAGGAAGTTGCTTGGCAGCTACATGTTTAAAAGAGAAGTAGCCAGTGCAATCAAAAAATGGATATAAATTCAATGAGATACAATGAAGATAGCTCAATTTGTATGATTCTGATGTTTTCGTCTTTAAAAAAGGACGACTCTGCTAAAATTTCCCATAACAAAAACACAAATAATTGTGAACAGTGCTATGAGGTTGCTGTGTTGAACTTTCCGTGACGCGTCTCCTGAAATTAACAACCTACTCTGTGTATGGCAATGTCAGTTTTGAAGATCAATTAATCAGCTAGTATGCATAGAGTCAATAGAGGGATGAGGGTAAGTCCCAACTGCAAATGAATCGGGTATTCGAAATCAAGAGCTGGCTTTGCCGTACCAAGTTTTTAGCGGGCCCCACAGCTCTTGTGTTTGTTATATCAGAAACAATTCATATTAAGTTTGCTATATAAGGAGAAACATGAAATGTGTCGCATAAGCAATGGAGTTTGAAGGATTATAGTAACTCGAGATTCGAGAATACCATCTTTCCTGAAAAAAAAAATGAAAAAGGAAAATCCTGGGGTCCAATAATTGGAAATGACATGGAATCTGCCAAGTCAAACAAATCAAGGCAGGAAATTGGAAGTGCAGCTTATATATGTAAAGGAATTGTAAGTGCATATGGAGCCCATTGCCTGAAAACTTGAAATTAATCAGAACACCGTTTCAAATATTTGTTCTCGCAGAAACACTTGATCTAAATCTGTACCAATTCATTCACCCCCTGCATTTCTTTCCCTTCTATTTGAGATTGTATAACATGATTAAATCTCCCCCCCCCCCCAAAAGGAGTATACCCTCGCCTTCCCCCTTTTCATAACAAATTTTGATCACGTTACTTCGAAAATAATCCACCCTGTCCCCGTGGCTTCGAAAATTATGCTATTTCCCTTCTTAATCCAAGGATCTTTGCTATGAAGGAACAATTGTATTGCAGAAATTGACATTCCTTGTAGGTGCGCCGTTTTCATATGGGGAGGGGTTTGAGCATGTCAGGTCTGCAACCGAAAAAAAAGAAAATCTGTATCACTAACTGCACCTTTTCTCCATTTTGTGAAAGTACCTTTTTTTTTAACAAGTTATTGATTGGAGGACCTGCCCCCCTTTTTGGCACTGCTTCCAGTATTTTGAACCTGATCCATATCTAGTTGAGAGGATTTAAAGTGGAATTAATTTGGATTAAGCCGAGACTTTTTTGAGAGAAACTTTGCCACCAATGCTATTGCATTTCAAAAACTTGAACTCAATTTCTAATTAAGCTAGCACAACTCTGAGTAGTTGCTAGTAGAGAAAAGAATGGCTTTTATTAAAAGGCTCTTTGAATTAATCTTTTGACGTGAGGTGAGTCATAAAGGATACATTGCTGAGGTAAATCTGTGTTTCTGGTTGTTGTAAAGGCATCTTTTCCCTGTAAAAAGCAGAGGCTCAAATCAAGGCTTTAAGCCCTTTATGATAGGAACAAGTGCTAAAAGTGGCACTGCACTGCAATAGATAGTCAGCCTTACGTCCTGAGAACCGCACATCAAAGCACTCCCAGTGATAATGACGTCCTTGCCCAACTAAAAGATAAAGCTCAAAACTAAAAAGACAACTCTAAAAGTATAATAAATTGATTCTTCACCACTGTAAAGAGAGTCTTTTAGTCTAAATGCCACGCCTCATAGCATTACATTATTGATTATTCACATCCATCACATATAGAAAGTCACAACAGGATCATTTCCCCCGACCAGACAATATTCACAGAGAAGAACATGTTCAACTTTTTCAATAGTAGTGCTAGGTTCCCACGCTGGAAACGAATTAATAACATTGAACCAGCACTATATATATGTGTGTGTATCCCGATCAGGATCCTCTCTATACTCTTTCAATACATTTTATCAATATTGAATTATATCGATCCATTTAATTATTCATTTAATTTAATTAAAATATATATATTATTCATTTAATGATGATTATAAATAAGCATCACAAACTATTAGGAGATAATTGTGAATAATCTATTTTTTTTTTTTTACTGTCACAAGTAATATGATATCGTTACATCGAATGAATAATTAAATAAACGAATGAAACTGAGTTTTGAGATATATTGAAGGAGAGAATGGAGAGAATTCAAATCCATAGAGATCCTCCAAAACTAACCCTACTTTCTTAAATTCTTTTTGGTTGACAGAGAATAAATGCATGATTGGATGGTTGGTGATCCCAACAGATGATCTTTGTTGATTATTGTGTTAATGCCAAGAACCACCACATTCTAAATATGCTTGATATCAAAATCGGTGTAAGGACAACGTTAAGAATCACAAACGATTCGACATAGTCGTGATACATTCACAAGAAATTTTCTGCATGGAACCAAAAGTCAGCCATATATCCACAAGATGCTGAAAATTTGAAGCTGGAAAACTCATTGTGAGCTCTCCTGGAATGCATGCGCACGAGAGATAGCAGCTGGGTTAGCTTCCAAAATTTGAGAGACACCCAACACACGGTCTTTTCCATCTCCTTCAGCTTCCAACTTTTTTGATCTACGACCATCTAATTCACACTCCTTCTTGTCAGGTTTTATACCTAATGTAGCCCAAATTGGACTTTTTGAGGCATCTTTTGGATCATCAATCCTAAGAGTCTTGGGAACCAGAACACACTTCTCAGTCTTCTCTTCATCGGTGAAGACTGTATCTCTAGAGTGTTTTCCCAAAGTTGGAGAGCCATTGCCTGAGCAGCAGCTATTACTAGTTGACGATGATGGTGAAAGACAACCATTAGACCCCATAGAGACGGTCCCAGTGCCAGCAGACCAGTATGATGGTGGTGCATATTGTAAAGGAATGCCAGGTGGGCACATGGCGGGAGCTGCCACCAACGGTGCAGGATACCACTGGATTGGTGCCGTAGATTGATGAATTGGAGTCATGGAAACAACATTGTTCCAATCTGGATTCCAGGGAAACAACAGTGGAGGAACAGGGTAACATTGCATTTGATTTGATGAACTAAGCTGATTAGAAACACATTGCTCTTTTTGCATGACAAGTTCTGTACCGCTACCACTTGCTACGGAAGATCCACATAATGATGGCTCCTTCCTACTTTCTGCATCAACTTTTCTGTTCTGGTCTCTTATAGTAAGCATTGTCTCCATGGATTCGCAGAGAGGAGGGGCGTCTGGACCAAATTTCAATACAATACCATTATCCATTGCCAATGAAGACCTGAAAGCAGCTGATGATTCAGGAGACGAGATAAGTTGGTGACTACATGAGTCTGTGGTTTCCAACCTAGAGGTTGAAATTCCATCAGAAGACACTATAATGTGGCGAAACTGAGAGGCTAGGTGCTTGTTCTTTCGTCTCCCAGCACCCACCGGAACATTCCTCATTGTTCCACCAGCGGTCCAATACCTTTGGCAGTTCTTGCAGAAATGTCGAGGCTGATTAACATTGTAGTTATTGAAATAACAAAACTTTGTGTCCAGACTGTTGCACCGTGGACACTGAAGAATCTTGTCTGGTTTCTTGAATGATTTATCTTGATCTGTGCTACTAGTTTCCGCTCTATCTTCCGTAGTCTTGGGATTGGCTTTGTGTTCATTTTCTAGCTGATTATCTTGAGACCCTTTCTTACTGGCTGGTAAATCAGAGGCATTCTCTTGTTGCTCAGAGTTCTCTGCACAAACATTTTCTGCTTCTGTTTTCTTTAAGCTACTGCAAGCATCCTAAAATGTAAACCAAAATCAGTGACAATTTAACTAGAATAAAGATTGACTTCACTGCAACATGTTGTATAACCTTGATATCTCAACTTTTTGCAAATATTTGAAGCGATAAAGCATCAATTGCCAGGGTCCCGCCCTTCATTTTTGAGAAGACTATTTCTAGCTCTTAATATTACCTCGGTCTCGATCGACAGGTTCCTCACCGTGTACATGAGCCTAAGTTCAATATAACTTACACAAAAAATTGCTGAAAGAAAGAATTCTCACAAACTTCCCAATCCGATGATACTATGAAAAAACTCAATCACTCAGAAGTTAGAATACCGAAAGGCAAGATTTGGAGGAGGGATTAGAAGAGCTAATTTGCAGAAGTGACAACTAGACCAGATATAAACAGTATGCAAAACCGAACAAACAAATACTCCATTTATCTTCCTGTGAAAGCCCACACAGAAGATGCCCTGTTGTTGATTTGGGGGAAGAAGCAAGAAAAAAGCAATGATTAATAGTCCCTTGCATGTTTCTGGGGAAAAAATGAAAAATTTCCCCCTCTTCATGCAGCCATGACAGTATGAATATGAAGATGAGTCAGGTACAAAGCGATAATTTCCATGTCTTCGTACACGTTAACTAAATTTGATAAAGTTCTCACGGTAAGAAATATGAGGCGGTAACCAACCAAAAAATAATAGAAGGCAAGATTAACCGAACACGCCACGCCCGAGAAACTATTTTCTCTATCACAACCTATATGTATGGAAACAGTCATGTATTAACAGAAGCCAGAATTCACGTTCGTTCGAGCCCAATCCTTAAGTTTGGGATTAACGAGAGACTATGTCACTGTAATTCCAATAAAATAGAATGTGTAAATGAAAAGCAAAGGCAGGAAGCTGAAACGGTTGCTGTGGATGTATGTATGCGTGCATTCATGTACCATGGTTCCGGAGTTGGCCGGAATCTGAGGAGGAGCCACTTGAGAGGTCACCGGAATGTGACATTCCGGCAGGGGAATCTTCCTGCCAAATAGCTTGATAGCGGAATCCTTCCCGGACATTTCTCCCGGATCGCTCATTTATAAATAAGATTCCACGTTTGTTGATGCAGACTCAGGAGCTCAAGACCCATAGAAATAGAGAATCAGAAAGAGGCGGAAAAGGGCGAAGCTTTTCTTTTATCTCCAGAGCTGCAGATACAAGGAGGGAAGAAAACTTGCCGAGAGAGCCTTCCAATAAAAAGTAAAAGAAAGAAAGGAAGGAAAAAAGAAAAAAACCCACAAAACCCCTGTCAAGAAAAAGGTCCCTGCAAAAAGCACAAAGAACATGATGCATCAGAAACGAGAAACAGAGTACCATCTTTTTTAAGCTTTATTTATGGCTATTGTTTTCTTTTAAATTTAATCCCAATTTTCTAATCCGAGTCCTCAGCGGAAGAAAGGCCCCCTTATTGAAGGGAAAGTGATTTGGTATGGCGATAAATAAGAAAAATAATCTTTTTTAGAGAAGACATGGAAGCATAGGGCCGTACGCATTAAATAGAGATCCCCTCCCTGATCACTGTTGCCCATATTATAATAATAAACAAACTCGTCCCGACCTTTATTCAGCACCAAAGCAAGCACCCGGTCATGGACAGAGGCAGCAACAAGACGATGGAAAATGGGCTTTCATTTCATGCATTGTTGATGGATGTAGTATTTCGTAAATTGGCGTATCAAAAGGAGAAAGAGGGGCAGAGAGGAGATTGGAAGAAGTGGTGGGGAGGAGACAGGTGGCAGCTGAGTCAGCAGAGGAGGGAATGGAGGGTGACGTGAGAGAGAGAGAGAGAGAGAGAGAGGTGCCGACATGGGAGGTCGCTTTTTAAGCCGCCTTAGAAAGCGGGGAGGGCCCCACCCATCCATTTGCTTAACATAGTCTGTGTGCTTTTGGATGAGTGAGAACTGAAAAGTCGCCAGGCATGAGTCTCTCTTTCCTTCTTTCTTTCTTCTCTGTGGACTTTGGAGGGCTCTGTGCTGTCTACTTTCCAAAACACAAGTTGCTTTCCTTTCTCATGTGTTTGTTGCTGAGCTTTTCTCACTTGCCATCTCCTTCTTGTTATTATACGATATCACATCCCTTCCCTATTTGGTCTTTGCCACTCGCCACTTCCTTATCAACGTTAGTTATTGCAATTTGCAATTGACTTTCATCTCGTTTTTACAAATTTAGGATTTCATCATCATCACTTTACACCAGTACGTAATACAACTAAAACACCGACAACAAGCCGTGACCAGTACTGCTTTTGATATCAGCCTCCGGGTGGCCTGAAACAAATTCCATCTCATATTCACTTGCACTGCTATATACCTGTCTTTTTCAAAAATTACATTTTAGTGGAATCCTTTGTGTTCTTATCTTTTAATCGATGCACATGTTTGGACGTGGAACTATTAAGTACACGGAACTTAAAAAGTAAAACATTCTGTGATAGGTATGATCTAATTTTATGTCATGTATAGATTGGCGGAAGGAAGAGAAAGGTAGGGGAAAAATTACGAGAGAAATTATATTTTTCACTGCTTGGATATGCAAAGAAAAATATGTAGGAGGATGAGAAATCTAGGGGAAAAAATAATAAGTGGAATCCCCATGTTTTCCCTTACTCTCAAATTTTTCTCTTTTAAAATGAGGAGATTTAATTGTAGAACAAAATGCTCTTTCCAGGGTTATCAGTCAATTGTATGGTGTTGTATTTTACTTTTTAATCCATTATTACATATTTTAATTTTGAAATTATCTTGAACAAATGATTTTTTAAAATTAGTACCAAGATGAAAATTGTATTTTTAATTACATTTAACAATTTATTATGAAAATTATATAAGTTAGATGGTAGAATAGCAAGTTTTATGGTCGATAATGTTTTTAAAAAGGTCAAAATTATGATTATCCAGGTGAAACGAATCACTTTTTTCGCCTCTCTGCCTTCTTCTACTCAGAAAAATATAAGGATAAAAAAAAATCACTGGCCCAATTTGTTCATTTGGTCTTCCCCTGCCACTTGATTTTGGAAGTGAATTGTGTTCACCTGGACTGTTGTAATTTTGAAGTGAAAAGAACTAATATAATGTTTAAAGGTATAAAAATAAACATGTAACATAGTCGTTAAGAACTCGTGTTTAATTAGGAGATGAGATTGTACAAGTTCAGTAAATTCAAAGTTGGTTACAAGAGTGAGAATTAAAATGAAAAAAGAAAGGATAAGAGAAAGTTGAAGGATAAGAACGAGGGGGCTTGGGCAGACCTGGGCTTTGACACTCAATGAGTGCTTTTGCTGCCCCTTTTGCACACAACTTGGATTGGACGCCGCCCCCAACACTCGCAGTTTAATTTTTTTTCATTTTTAATTATTTTTAGAGTGACAATCCATGCTTATCTTAAACATCGATCGCCTCTCTCCCGTTTCTTCCACTTGTAATGCTAATCCCAAACTTAAGAGCTTCTGAGAGAATCTCAACGTTGCGAATATGAGATTAAAATATAAAGGACTCTGTCTTTTCCATGTTATTAATGTTCATGCTTCCAGTAATATTCTCTGTTAACAAATTTCATCATATCTTCTCGATCATTCTGCACCCTAACAAATCTGTTCTCATTCCCTCACTACCTAACCTACATATATTCTCATTATATCCGCTCCAAATAGTCCACCTCACTTTAATGCTACCAATCTCCATTTTTAATTTCATTTCTGAATTCTGATCAACTTCATATTCTCAAATCCAGACAAACCGATACGATGAAGGGGCAAGGTCATAGTAAATAAAAAAAAAAAACAAGAATGAAGAGCAAGTTTCAAATAAAAGTGTCCACCGCCCTAATATATATAATATCTTTTACACGATATTAATTCCGTGCCTCTTTGTTTCGCTTTAGTACAATTTTCAGGAAATGTTATTAAATATTTTTTTTTCAATAAAACGATAATTTGCAATGACAGTGTAATTTATCTCTACGGGATTCAAATTTTAAAACTGGTTAAATTAAAAACCAATTGGTAAGATATGATAACAAAAGCTTGTGTGCGCCAGAATAATTCGAGATTGACAGTTGACTGATAAAACCGTGCGGTGGAATTTCCAGAAGATAATAAAACTAAAAGGTAGAGATAAAGTTGAATTCAATTCGATGATATTCCAATCTTCCAATCCATATCTCACCGTCTTCTGTTATTGCTTCATTTATATGATTCGCCCAAAAAAGTTATTTTAACGTCATACATATATATATATATATATATATATATTGTCGGTTTTCATATGAACCTTAAAAAAAGGATAGAATTTGATTTCTTTTTTCGCAAAAAAAGAAGAATCTGTCCATATTATTAAATCTACGAAAATAATAGTTAGGGACCTCATAAACTCATGAGAACATTAATGGCAGCTATAAATTCAAAATTATTAAAATCTCAATAACAGATTATGATTCTTTTTTATAATTAAAAAAATATGAATAATCAATTAAAAAATATACTAAATATACTTGGATTATTTATAACATAATTTGAAAATTTTGAGAGTTAGTTATGAATATTTTTTTACTATCAATATACAGATAAATTAATTAAAAAATTAAATAAATACACTTAAAATTATTTGTGATGTTAGTTAAAAATTTAAGAAAGTCAATTGTGAATTACAAACTAATCTTTCGTGATTTTTTTTGCACCAATTAAGAATTTATAAGAATCATTTATGAATCACAAACCAATTAATTATAATTTTTTGGTATTGTTTGAAAAATCAATAAAAGTTAGTTGCAATTTTTGTTGCGGTAGTTAATTAGAAAGTCCTATGTGAATCTCAAGTTAATTAACAAAAAATAATTTTCTGCAAGAAAAAATTATAATCTGTTATTAAAATTTTAATAATTTATAATCCGTAATTATTATTATTATTTTTAGATGATCGGTAATTATCATTTTCCCTTAAATCTATGTGAACCGGGCAGAAATTTGCTGCCCCTCTGAAGTTTCAACTCGTTGTTGTGAATTAGGATATGACGTTGTCCCCGCCTCAAAGGCCCAAACGGACCCATCGGCCCGTATACAGCCAGTGGCATATATTGCATTCCAGAATGTGAATGAAACTATGAGCTGTAGCTTTTTTTTTTTTTTTTTTTTGGTTGGGGGGGCTGTGCGATGAGCTTCACTCTAAATTTAGATTATATTTTTGGCCTCCTGATTTTCGAAAGACATTAGTCGCTGATTGTGTTTAATTAACTTCGAGTGAGAATTTAATTTTTATGTATTATTAATTTAAATTTAAGCTTAACATTTATTTTTGTTTCTATGTCATTCAATTACATTAAAATAAGAAATAACAAGAGCATGCATAAGTTTTTTATCTCGTTTAATTATATTAAAGCAATAATTACCCAATATAATGGACATGCGCGCGCGCGGGGGTGTGATAGGTTAATTTAAAGGCATACTTGACCAAAAAGAACAAAGAAAAAATGGTAATAAAATTCATTCAGATTATATAAATGACAATTTAGTCATTTAAAATATTATAATGTTACTAAAATTTTTTTAAATTTTTTTATTGATAAATTTTAAATTAAAAAATATTTTACCTTTATTAACAAATTGTGAGTTCTTGTCATTATTTGAATAAGGTTTGTTATTTTAAAAATTTATTTTTTAATAATAGATTTTACACTAACAAAAGTGCTATTTCTTAAGTAAAAGTTATAATTGAGACTTATTTTTTAATAATAAAAATTTCACTTGATGAATTATTATTTCTTGTTCAACTCCTGCAATTTATAAAATAAAAGTTGTGATTGTTTAAATAAAAATTGTAATTGAAATTTATTTTCAGTAAGGGTAAAATAATTTTTTCACTTTAAAATTTATTAACACAGAGATTCATAAGAATTTTATTAAAATTATAATATCTTGAGGGATCAAATTATTATTTATATAATTTTAATGAATTTTATTATCATTTTTTTTAAGAATAAATAAAAGGAAAGGAAGAGAGAGAAAATCTCCCTATTTGCATTTGACAGGCTGAGCGGGTGAATAGCTCTTCACCGGAGGGCTCATATCCATGGAACATAGGAATGAGCCTTTATCAACATGGCTAAGGAAATTCTAGCTCGGTTGAAACTTGAATATAATTTCAAGGACAAAAATAATTCTACTCTGATTTTTATGGTTAAGATAATTCATTTCCATGTCAATAATGGATATTTGTATATATTTTACGTAGGGTACTCAAGCTCGCATGGTTGAGTCAGAACGGAATCATTTTAGCGGAAGTTCTGTCATTATTCGTAGTTGTATTCTCAGAATTTAAATTCAAAACTCTTGATTAAGCCGATACAATTCTCTTATTTGTTGAAATAAGTGTTTTCTAATATTTGTATCATTTACTTTTTAGAAGAAAACTTTTTATGTTCACGTATTTTTTGTTCATCCATATGCAACACATGAAAATTGGTTTTATGAGAAGGCCCATCGATCTTCCCTTTTCATTTGGATTCCCATTGCTTTCTCATTCCCTTAAAAATTCTTTTATTGGATCAAACGTGACATATACATATATATTAACCAGTTTCCTCAATGCCGCTTGATCGATAAAATAATCCCACTTGTACGTCTGTTAAACAATTGGTGAACACTTAAAAGCCCACACTCATATATATATATATATATATATATATGGAAGTGACAAAGCTTTCAATTGACACTTATTGACGAACTTTATTTGCGTTATAAAAGCTTATTGTGTCTCTAAAGGAAAAAAAAAAAAAAATCATATCTATAGTAAGTCTCATGAGGTCGTACTGCGTAAAACTGGTCATATGAGCATATATTATACTGATTAATTATTGGCATCGTCCTCTGTATATCAATTCTAAATATAAATCAAACCCACTAGTTTGAACGTATGAGCCTGTGAGCTCTATTTAGGCCTTGTTAAGATCGATTAATTTATTAACTGATTTCTTAATTAATTTGTAGTTCTGTTCGTGACAACTCATCATTATATATATATATATACACGCAGTTCATGTTCAAAGGAAGGTTCTTGATCATTGATTCAACAATAAAAAACCAAAGGGTTAATTATGACTGATTAATTAAGTTAATTGTTAATTGAATTAAGAGAGTTGTGGTGAAAACGCACTAAGCTACAATTTCTTTACATAACAAAGTGTGGACCATCAGTGTCTTATCTCTTATGTATATGTATGGTGTGAATTGCATAAAAGTAGTGGAAAGTAATCTTCAGGCTCATATACATAGGGCCCTGCAGTGCCAGTTTAAAGAAAATTAATTAATTTATTGTTTATTCCATTATTAAGAAATAAGTATGTGAAGACTCATAAAGAGTCCAATCGAATGATTGAAATTGAGGACCGCACAACTTTCATTTTTGCTAAGCGAGTATCTTGTCTGACATTATATATGAGTTTATTAATAAGTGATGTGTTAATATATATATATATATATATATATACTTTCTAAATCCGAATATGTGTTTTCATCCTCAGAGCTTCGGCCAAAGCCTAACTTGCTTAAACATTTTGAAGTAAAAAAGAAAAGAAATATAAGGCTAGAGATAGAAATAGGTTAGTTTACTTGATCAAAGGTCTACGACTTGACTTACTTTAAACTCAACTTAAAATACTTGCTAAATAAACGAGGTCAAATTTAGATATTTTGTTAGGCCTATTTTTACAAGGCTGCCCAATCTACAAGTCTAGCATATCAATCTATTTACATATGTATTATTATATAATATATTACATACACATCAATTTAAATTTTTAATTTTTAATCTATCTGTTTTTTTTTATTTTTAGTTACTCTTTTGGTCCTATTTATAAGGTAAAGAAAGAATGTTTGCTTTGATTTTATTTATAAGGCATCTTTATAATTACTATGTTCATCTTTATAATATTGTTCCTATTAATTCTAAGAAAGTTTATTAAGTGCCAGAGTATTTTATTTTAAAATAGATATATTTAATATGGACAAAGCTAAAAACTTGTTGAATTTTTAGATAGAATTAATAAGATCTAAGATTTTTCTTGGTTACAGTAAAAATGCTGAAAATAATTTATAAATAAAATCAAAATGAGTATATTTTTAATTATATTGGATTTATATATTGATTTTAATATTGTTACTTTATGGTTGGAAGTCATCTTAATTATTATATATTGAAATTGATAAATTATGTTATATAAATATAGACTTAAATATAATTTTATTTAAAAAAGTTTACTTTTAAGAATGCTTTTAAATAAGTTTTTAAATCAAGTCAGGTTTTAAGTAAATTCAGGCCTAAGCCATAAAAATAAAAAAATATCTTATGTAGATTTTAACCCAAACTCAAGTTTCTAACATACCATATAAACTTAAATTTATTTAGTCAAAACTTAACTCAATCAAGTCTATTTTTACTCCTAGCTATGTCCACGTTAACACAACATTCATTTGGCGTGGACTCAACTAAATGCCCACAGCAAAACGTGTTGCGGACTTGCGGCATGCCAACACGGCTGCTCGGACCAAGTGTGTTTCGGAAAAGCTGGATTTCAACATATATAACTAATTTTTTAAAAAAAAGAGATATAAAATGTCTAAAAACTAAAAAAAATAAAAAATAAAAGGAGCTATTTAGTTTTCACATTTTATCTAGCAGAAATACTAATAAATAATGATATTCTGAGCTTGTAACAAACTCCCCATGAAACTTAAAACATCCAAAATTGGAAATCACAGAGGAGAAAAAGAACCTAAACTTAGATGAGGCCCTTAACCTGTCATCAGGTTCACCATATTCCGCCACTATATGTATATATATGCTGCGGACGTACTCAATCTGTGGCAGAAAATGACGCTCACACTGCGTCTTAATTATATATATATATTTATATATATAAAAGTGCGATCATATATACAAGCCTATAAGCTGTCAACAACTATATAGCATAACCATCCTTTTTTCTCTTGGCAAAAGAGAAAAAAACTATGTAGTTTGAAGCTTACATGAGGTACATGAGGTAAGAATGCACATCTGATCATGTTTAAATTCCAAAGAACAAAAACACTATGAATAAATATAACGAACACATGTCGGCCGGAAGCCTCTTTCACGGAGCTTTCTATGTATTTCAACTTGTTTCATATATAAATTAAAAAATCGTGTAAGCACTGGCCATAATTAGCATATATCTGTCTCTTTATTGATTACTAGAGAAAAACGCCACCATAGCTAGCTAGCTATCATTATGCATAAGGATCAGGTACAATATCTCACATACAAAGCCAGAACAACTGATCGACACATATATTGTCTTGTATAGGTTAAATATCATACGGAAAAAAGAAATCATCAGATTATATAACTAGCTAGATAGCAGAAGAACATACTGAACACACATCAAACCGACGACTATATATTATGTTGACCCTGGAAGTCGTCCCAGTGATCTGCGCTCGATTAACCATAGTCCATAACTAATCCCTCCCAAACCAAAGAGGTTATGGTTTTCCTGGGGATTTTGGATCGTGAGCTGGGTTCGCTTTTGCCCCAGCATAGTCTATCATTGTCATCATCATTCTTCCCTCATCCCCACCATTTCCTTCCTCCTCAAACTCAACCTCAGTCCTCTGCAAATTCAACAATCCCCGTCAGGAAAAACAAAGAGTGTTGCTAGTAAATAAGAATTAGTTCAGATAACTAACTAATCAGAAAAGGCAAAGCCTGAGATAGATAATATGCATAGAAGAAACTGACAATATCAAAGTTCGATCGCCTTATAATTCTTATCTCTTGTAGGTTTGTTAGATCTTTCAAGATCTATATTGTCTTTGGCCCAACCAAGTAAACTTTCAAATTTTGAAAGACAAAAATCTGTAATATAGCTTGTCAGTTAGGGCAACCGACCAATTTTGTATACATACTCCCCCTCCCCCCCCACTCTCTCTCTCTCTCTATATATATATATATATATCTCACCCCTTCATGGATTTTAGGAGATAAATAATATGAATATAAATAAGTACGTTTTGGTCAGATGATGAAAAGGGCAAGAAGCACAACAAAAAGAGAAAGGAGCTAGAGAGACCTTGGTAAGATGGGGCACTGGTGAATCTATTCCTCTAGCTTTGCTGATTCCTGTATATTCTCAATAAAAATTACATATAATTAACACACGAAAATACGTGGATGGAAACAAAGGTACTGAAATATAATTAAGAAGCGCATCAAAATCCTAAAGTATCCATAAAAACCCTTGAAAGTCGGAACATACTGGTTGCTGGAACAGCAACAGCGAGGACAAGATAGAAAAGACCCAGAAGGAAAACCAAGAGCCTGAAAAAGCCTTTCTTCTCCATGATCATTCCAAGAGTATATGATGAGCAATTGAAAGAGACAGAGAAGAGGACCGAGTACAAGTTTGTCATTGAACTATTGATTACTTTTGGGGAAGCCAAGGGGACGAAGGTCCTTATATATAGAAAAAGCAGCAATATATATATTCACACCAATGCTTGATGCACTTGCTCGACAAATTTAAATAATTACAATTTTCTATCTAGCAAAGTAATGTGCAGGGGCATCTCGTAATTAGGTATTCTCTCTCAATTATTAACGGCAATATGTATCAGTCGTATGCATCAACTAATTACGCCGTTTCCCCCTTTAATAACAATGACGACACACTGTTAATTAGCGCTCTTAATTGTTACTTTCACTTTTTATGATCATTAGTTCTCAAACACGCGTGCGAGAGCGGGTTTTGATTTATTTACCAAGGCCATCTAGTCATGGCGAAGAGCCTATATCTTATTTCTTCGTCAGGCTGATATATACATTTTGCCATTTCTTCTTTACCACGCGTGGTCGCAATTAATCATGGATACAACAAATATTAAGCAACATTATATAGTCATGCCGCTGGTCAACTAAGTAAATAAGGGGTTTAAACAACGATCCAAAGCAACATTTATGAATGGGTTTAAACAACGATCCAAAGCAACATTTATGAATGTGTTTTCCGCGATAACATATAAGCAACTAACTCAGCGGTTAACAATATGTCGTGCTTTTAGTCAAATATAGCAAAATATAACGCTTTGAGATGTTGATGGAAAATCCCTACTTTTTATAGGGGGCATGTGAAGCACATGATTATATGACGATTGGTGGTGCTTGAGTGCTTCAGATAGCCATGCAGGAGAATATAATCACCATAATTGACTTCCCGCCACGCTCGTGCTCTCGCAGTTTGGCCCCCCTGCGTCAAAATTTTTGTTTTCGTGACACAGAGAATACCACGAACCTTTAAGAGCGTAATGATTGGCCTCATGAAAAAAAAAATTGAGGTGAGGGAGAATCCAAAAAACCAAACAAATCCCAGTGCTTGAAAGTCCTCATGATTCGGACATTGGATTCTGGAATATTAATGTACTAAATGTGGCACCTCCAGGTGGGGTTGCTTTCGAACAAAGCCTTCAGTGAGGGAATAGTGAGAATGAATAAACAACAGGGTGTTCATAATAAGAAGTGGGCATGGGCAAAATAATAGAGGTTAAGGTTTAAATAAGAATAAGTGCGTTGGTAGGTGGGAGTCAAAAGCCCTGCTCGGGGCGTCGTTATCTGAGGACGCCGACATGTGGATGTCTATGTTGCTCACCCAGGTTGTTGTATGTAATCAGCTTGCATGATGATTATTCCAGTCCAGTTAGGGCCCTGGCCCCAATAAATAATTAGAATCTCATGATATGTGTAACTGTGCCTTTTCTTATTCATGCACACAAATATTTATGGGAATGGGCCTCCAGATGGGCTTTTCACCTGCCCAATTCTTCTTTAATTTCGCGGCAACTGGCAACAAGGACGAGCCGAGTTATGTGGATTGTTATTGCAAATAATGTCCACCAAAATGATGACATGTACGTTGTCTTACTTTTCTGGTTTCTGCGGAATCTACTTGTAAATTTCTGATAAATAAGTAATGCTGTTTGTCGAAAAACAAACTACAGATGGTTGGAGTGTCGGTGGACATCGTTTCAAGTGTAAAACAATGACACAGAAATAAAACAAGAGTAATTTCGATCCTTGCAATTAATTGTTGGGCAACCTGCTCTCTATGCGTTGCGGTACTTCATTCATTGTCCTCCCAAGGGCACTTACATAAGCCCCAGCTGCAGGTGCGCACGTCCTTAAATCCAATATTCAGACTTCAGTCCCAAGCCCTTCTTCGTGCTTGAGAAAGGTTTGCCTTGGAGTCCTAGACTTGCACGCATAATGGGTATTGGGTAGGAAGTAGTCAACAGCGAGTGAAAAAAAAAAAATGAAATTGGATCCGAGGGTTAGTTTTTCATGACATAATGAATCAAGTTCAACTAAAAGAGATATTTATATTTAATATCTGTTTATGTTTGGAAAAAGATTATTTTAATAAAATAATATTTGTAAGTGATAAAAAATAGAATTTAATAATGAATGAGGGAGAGGGTGGTGATAATTAAACAAGATTGGAATGATTGGGGGTGCTTGATAAAGTCGTGAATTGTGCAAAACTCTTTCTCATGCTTGATGTTTCCCAACACACAATCTACCAACCCCCTCTCCCTCCCCTGTCACGTAAAGCTATCCTCAGTTCATTATTTATTATTTACACTCCCTTTAATTTAGAAATAATTATTATTTATTTCTTCTAAATAGACCTGGAGGTGTAGCCATATATATCTGTGCATTCAACACGATACATTACGATGTCAAGAACTATGGTACAATTATTGTATAGTTATAAAATCAAGTTTACATTCAGATTCATATATATTTAATTTCGAAAAATATCTGAATTCCATATATATCTCATAAAATAAAACACGTACACAGCCGAAATCTTCCGCTGGTGGGGTTAAAAGGAATGAATCGTTCCTTTCATTAAATTATGTAAAAGAGATCTCATCAAGGATCTTCTATTTCATGTTTCTCGTTCCATAGACATCGCCGTCGTCGTCTTCTTATAGATGTTAACCTAACTCTCTGCTCTAATATAATTAACCATATATTATACTCTACCATTAATCTGATCTCTCGCCCGAATGAAAACCCTGACCACGCTTGACACTTCCAAAACAAAACTATATTAATATTTCTCGTCATGATTCCATTTTAATTTATACAGCTTTGATGAGAGATCCGACTTCCTTTTCTTTTCTTTTTTAATTTATATTCCAGGTGGCAGGTGTGTCGACCTAGAATTTGGTTGGCCACGTTTTAATATAGGGAAAGGGGGAAAAAATACTTTACGCTCGTCGATTATTTAATATTGGCTTCATGTACATGGGTGTCTTTAATATTTCCGCACCACAAATAGGACAGAAGCATAGGTCATGTGGCCGGTAAAAAAAAAAAATATATATATATATATATATAATTATTGAACTCGTCGGTCTTAAGATATCGATCACTTTGATTTTATTTGCATTTTTTAAAATTTCAATGAGTATTCATTATTTTTCTGTAAGTTTACTTTTCAATAATAATCATGAGTCAAATCATTTTGAATATACTTTCTTTTTCCATCAGTTATGAATTTTTTTAGTCAAGTAATATAAAAAATTACAATAATTCGGACTTTTTTTTTCCGTGGACAAGGAATATAGCAGCAGAAAGTAATATCTCTTGAAATGCTAAGAACAAAATAGACCCTTTTCAACTAAATTTTTATTGAATTATTTAATAGTATTATTAATTAAATTATGCATGTAATATTCTTAAGTAGATGACAGATATTTTGGAATGGAGATACTAAATTTATGCCCAGCAGGATGTAAAAAATTCGATTTAATCAGTCACTTATGAACTCCTTTTAAAAGTAATAATTAATAACTAATAACTAATGCAGTACATATTTTTACATATTATACAAGCCTGGTGATCCGTGTAAGACTCCACGTAATTTAATTCGCAATTTTTTGTTACATTTTCTGTTAACACGCGTGTGGCGCCTAATTTTGTCATTGGAAGAGCCTTACGACTTATGATAAGTAGGTCATGTGCTCAAAGTCAAACTGTCTTTGGCACCAATTATTATACAACACCACCGTTTTGTCTTTAACGATGACCTTTCAATTATATATAATTAACTAATTCTTTTTTAAACAGGAAACAAATATACATCCACCTCATGGATAGAGTTAAATTATTCAGGGCCCTTCAATTTTGTCGATAACCCATCGAATCATGTTCCTTGAGCAAAGTGCATCTAATAACTTCATGCCTTCATCTACCTCGCGCGCAAAAAGCTCCAACGTATACATGAAAAGCGTCTTTTGAGAATAAAAAGGATGAAGAGAAAAACAGGAACTGAATCCAATCTTTACGTAGAGATTAATGCGTCATTATCGGTATTAATATTAAGTTTTGATTGAGGGACTCGAATTTTATATTTAAAATCTCATACTTAAATTTTATGTATTTAAAATTATTTGTTTTGATATATAATATAAATAATTTTAAAGAAAAAAAAAGGGATAAGCTAAGATTCAAAGTTGAGAATAATAAAAGTTGAGAAGATAAAAGTGACAAAAATGACATAAACACTGACAAAGAAAACGTGAAGAGAATGGAAAAGCTACAGTAATGACTTGAATTTTAAATGATAAAAGTAAGTAAATAATTTGAAATTATAAAAAAATTGTAATAAGAGTTTGATTTCGATTTATATCAAATTCAAATTCATAAATTTTTATATATCTAAATAAAAAATTTGATTCAAATATAGATTTTGTTCTAACGCCAGAGTTAAGAGATACAATGCGAAGGATGAGTTGGGATCGTACAGTGGAGTTGGTTGGAGGATTTTAGGAGTAGGCTTTGACTTGAAAATGACCCAAAACCAGGATTAAATTTGGTTGTGACTTTTTAATCATTTTTTAGATAAATACAAAAAAATTGAGAAAGAGAGTCACACGCACCACACACAGTGACACACTGCTGTAGGCCGCTGATGAGATTGTAACGATTACATGAGGTAAGCGTGACCATACAATCTCGTGTGTGTGTGTGCGTGTGTGTGTGTGTGTGTGAGAGAGAGAGAGAGAGAGAGAGAGAGAGAGAGATGATATTAGGTGGTTGTTGTGTTTAGAGCCAGGGGTAGTACATGTTCACGTGACCAGGTGGGAAAGGCGTGCTTCTCATAATATCACGTTTGCTCTTTGGTCATATTTCGCTAACCGACAAGCGTTTCTGGGACTACCTCGCACCCGGTTTCTGTTCACAGTCTCACCCGTCCTCCTTTTTTTAATATATTTCTTCCCTTTTTATTTATTTATTTTGTGCCTCTCCCCTTCATTCATGTTTATCCCCCCTATTATCATTTCCTTGCATTATTATTATTATTATTATTATTATTATTATTATCTCTTTTCCTAAGCTAATTAATTTGTATTTTTTTCTAAGTCAGAAATTATGCATCCACCTAATTCCAATAAACTTCATAATTTTCTAAAAAATTGTAAATTTTTTAATTATATTCTTATTCAATGTCCTGTACAGATACTTTAGTAATGACAATTGAATTTTAATACTTATCTAGTTCTATTTATAAGACATTTTTAACATATTTTACCATAATCAAATAAAACCTTAAAATTCGTTAATTCTATCCAGAAATTTAATAATTTTTTAATTTTATCCCTATTAAATATATATACCTTAACAATGTATTTTCTCTCTCTAACATTCAATGGAGATCAAATGAGAAAATTTATAATGAAACTTTAACAAGATGACTTATAAATAAAATAAAAAAAACTTTTCTCTTTATCTTATAAATAAGACCAGAAAAAGTATGTTATTTTTAAATAATAATAATAAATAAATTAGAGGTATGAGTATGATAAAAAAAATTATAACAACTATCAAATATTTTATGTTTTAAATCAAACAAAGCTTTTAAAAAAAATGGAAAAACGGAGGAGTATATTATTATTCCCATTCCCATAGTAATTAACACTTCAATTTCCAATGTATGAAGGCATATTCCTTTAAATGTTTTGTCAACTGAATATATAGTGGTTTGAATATGTTCTTTTTATAGCATGCCAGTGTGGTCAAACACACATGAAAGAAAAACATATTTTTCGTAATGTAATTGTCACGGGCGCTTTTGAAATATATCTGGAAGTCATCGATATAATATAAATATAGATGCATATTAAAAACAAGAGAAATAGGCCTTTGAAAAGAATCGTAAGAGTCAATAAAATATGGAACAAGCAATGTGGAAGGTAGAAGAGCAAATTAAAGGGTGAAAAAGTTTGGTACAGAGGCAAAAGAAAAAAACAAGAATAAATAAAACAAGTTGACTTTTTTCATTTCATCCTGTGATTGTGAATTCAAGTCCGTTAAATTGCAAGTACTTGTGCTACGTATATATGTATGTGCCACCTATTTAAGCATCTCGCTTCCTATCTCTCTCCCTCTCATCACCAATCTTGAGGCGTGTCTTCGCTCTCTCTCGTCGTCTTTTTTCCAGATGAAGATCACCTTCCTCACTCTTCTCCTTCTTCTTCTCGCTCTCTCTGCCTCTGCTGTTCCTGCAACCAGTAAGCTTCTTCCCTATTTGATATTTTCTTCCTTCGTTTTTCCATCCCTTTCTTCTCCATTGACTTGTCTGCTCACAGGATCCCATTATCTGAACGCCCAAGATGCGTTGCCTCTCTCTTATTTACCCCAGGTCACTGCCTGCGCTAGCTTATCTGTTATATTTTTCATCACTACCAAGTTAAACGAATCTGAGACCTATCAAATAGTTTCTTCTGGTTTGGCTCTTACCGATTGAAATTCTTGGTGATCTGAGTTGCAGGTGAGTGATGCGGTGGAACTAGGAAATGTTTCCGAGGTTGTGGACGAAGCAGGATTGATAGAGAGAAGGATGGATTTGGAAACTCAGGACTATGGAGGCACTGGAGCAAACAAAGATCACGATCCAAAACCCCCTGGAAAAGCTTGAATCGTGAATTTTAAATATGTAAAGGACGGGATGTAATATATATGCATATGCAATATTTATGTATATATTATTATATCTTGATATGTCCTAGTCTTATAATCAATACAGGCTTGACCCCTTCCCTATCCCTCTGTTTAAGCTTAATTCTGCTCTGTATGGTCTTACTGATTCTCAAGTAAGATCACTTCTCATTGGATAATTAAGCCACGCTCGTCTCCATGTTCCCGGTAAATTGAAGATCCAATCAGGCAAACCAGATAGCAAAGCATTGGTCTCTCACCATCAGAGTTACAGGACATCGATTATCTTTTATCCGATGGTGCGTTCATCGCTCAGATTAATATGTACTTTATAAGTATTCCGACGAATCAAGTGGATGAAATCTTTTTCATCCTGAATATTTTTGTATCAGTGTTAGCTTTATTTGATGGCCATTGTCAGCTGAATAAAAGTACTCTATATCAATTCAAGCACCCAGTTTATTGCAGAATATGCAGTTTTTGGTGCTTTCCTGACTGGATTTGATAGCCTGGATATTTCGCCTCGTTTCATCATCAACACCACCGCCATCATCATCAACAATAGCACACGCACTATCATTAATTTTTATTAATTATTTCACAATTGGGGTTAATAATAATATCATGACAAGAAGCTTCTTGTAATAACGAAGGGTCGCATTATATCACTGCCAATTGCTTAACAAATTAAATCTATGGGACTCGGTGCCAACCACAGACTTCTCAAAAGCCTTGTGCCACTGAGGGAGAAATTCATTATTTATATGTCACTTAATTTCATATTATATCATATTAAGATAAAAAAAAAACAGAGTCAACAGATGTCCACGTCCGATTAAAGCATTTACTCTGCCACAAGTTGAGAGCATTTGTAATTTGCAATTAAGGAGTTTGAGATTGACTTTCACACCACCTATAAGCTAAGCAAAAGTGCTGCCTAATACGGCCAAGGGGAATAAATATGAAACTTTTTCACTCAACCAATATGTGAATTTGATGGAATAAACTATAGTTTGGGACCTCTAGTTTCATATTATAGAATAATATAGACTGTTCTATGAAACGTTTAAATCGGCTAGGTTTCTCTTGTTAATTACTAATTCAATAGGTTTCTCACTTAATCATATTTTTTAATCGTATTAAACATTGTTACTATTTTAGTCTCAACTACAGTAACCTCTGTATATCTATATGAAGTTTGAGATAAATCACATTGTTGATAACTTATTTATGAATATTTTTTACACTCCATACCCAATCGTTCAGATGCGATGTCTTGAACCTATACTGAGGCCTCTGTTTTTTGTGGAATAATTACTGTCACTATCCAACTAATTCCATTCTCCTTGAACCATCTCTCTCTCTCTCTCTGTCTCTCGGTAAAAGTAAAGGTAATCCATGGAATTGTGGGATTAGTCGTCCTCTCATGATTATGAATACACATGCATGTAGCCGCTTTCCAATCTTGCTTTCACATTTTGCAATTACCTAACAGCCCATGATATAAGCAAATGTTGAGGATTCTTCACGGTCAGCAGAAAATCAATACAGTTCTATGTGGCGAATGTCAGGCGAACTCTAGCCCGCTTTAAATAATGAAGAACAACAACGAAGAGATACTAATAGATTAATAACATTAAAAGTATAGCATCCCCTTATTCAAAAAGTAATGCAGAACAGGAACTCTGCAGAGTGTAGGTGGGTTGTCTGAGCTGTCCACCCATAAATTTTCAGCTAGTGGCAACGCATGCGATCACAAGGATTAGATTTAGCAATATCTGTATTCAAAATGCAGCATCATTCGTTCCACAATTGAGTCAGCTTTGGCTCCAGTGGCCACGGACGTGTTGCTTTCCCATAATAGTGATCAGCTTCACTCTCTCATCATCTCGTGAACTAGTTGGTTTCAACTTCATGATGGGAGCCACATGCATCACTTGTTACTTTATAGGGACTATACAGTTTCTCTTTTGGTGAGAGCATGGAAACTTCATGTGCCATCTATCGACTATCGTTTCTTGGTTTGCGTATACCACAGGCAATTACCAGATTCTAGTGCCAACCCGCCAACCGTTGACAATTGCGAGTGCACAAATTAAGGAAAATGCATTTCAGAAGATTAATTGCAGTTTCGGGATTTTTATAGTTCAATGGTTGTCACTTGTCAGCCAAAAAAAAAAAAAAAAGATAACATGGAAAGTGATTGCAACTTCAAAGAACTGCTAAATTAGACCTGATATTTGGAAGACGATACGTGTGATATGTTTATAAGGTGAACAGCAACTTAAGTCATTCCTGATGTCGGCAAAGCAATTAAAGCTTACAAAATTTTATGCATTGACTAAATTTTACAACCAAGTCGTTCCTAATATCCGTATGTTTTTGGTTCAAGCCAGATTTTGACTTGCATGTTATTGGTCTTACAAAATCCATTTACTTGAGCACTGGAGAGAATTATGCTTTTTGACGTGCGAAAGTCGCCGTGGTTGAAACGAACGAATCTGGCTTGCATTCCCACTTTGGATTTTAGTGGGATTGTACCGACCCACACTATAACTGTGCAGCATGAAGTGCCATCAAAGTTTCATAATGATTCATGAGCTGTTTCAATTCACACTGCATTTATGGAAAGGTGTGGGCTTAGATACGTTTTTGACAATATCATCTCAGACACTTACAACATGTGCCAATAAGAAGAGTCCTCTGGACTGTGTCTATTAACAGTGCGAAGTGCTACAAGGTTTAATTTTTCCCCCCTTGTATGTTAATATCAAATGCGCACGTGATTGAGAAATTGAAATTTGCCTAAATTCACATCCCAGATTGGGCAATTCTTAGATCGCAGGTAAGAAGTCAAGAAAGGATAGTTAAGAAATGACTGAAATCGGCATAAATTGTTTGGGAGCTATCCACCTAAAGATGCAATATGTTAGCACTTAAACAACCACCACATGACAATTCCCAAATGTAAACGAAGGTCATTCATCTTCAAGGTATCCACCAGAGTTAGGGAGTTTCTAAGCATCTAAGAAGAAAAACTCCATTAAAACCTAGTCTTTGTTTAGGCTCTTGTGCCCTACAAATTATTTAGTCAGTCCAAAATTTTCGTTCCTGATAAAGCTTAGACCATAAAGGGGAATATTGGCCTACAGATAAGAAAGCTCATAGGCACTCGCTTCGGGATTTTGCACCGTCTCCAACTTTTGCTTTTCCACTACTTGTTGCGACAATAAGAAAAAGCGTCCCAAACCTCAAGTCATACCATTTTTGTCACTACCACCAAATTGGCGTCGCTGATCCACCAAAGCTTCACAACGCCGCCAATGTGATCACAATATGATTTGCTGCCACAAGACAGACATGCACGCGCATGAGGATTGGGGCAAAAGAACACAACCAAATTGTTCAATATCTAATTTATTTGTTCCACTTGGGTGGATTTGCGGCTCAATCACACAATTAACAATATATTCCCACCCCACCAGATCTCTCCAACCAAAGATTGAATCCAACACCAAAATTGCACGGGCTCGTTAAGATTTTAGCAACTCTGGTAAAAATCAAAAGTAAGGGACCACGAATGGGGCAGAAGAAATGTGGAGAGAAGTGGACTCCACAGCTGTATGAGAAAGGAAATAGGATAAAATAATTGACACATGCCTCGTCGATGGCAACACAGCATCACCGACGATTTCTGATAATCCTAGGTTCCCCTTGTGCTAGCCATGTCAAATCGGGATCCAAGAAGTCCACACATAATTAAAAGCAGAAATGGGATTCAAGCAGCTCTCAAATAACCATCATTCATTCAAAGTTATAATCATCATCCTCGTAGTTAGATCCCTCGTCTACAATATTATCGTAACGAGTGTTTTCATATAACCCGCCCAAATCATCTGTCTCCTCCTCAAACTCGCCTGTCGATTCCAGCTCATCATCACCTCTGTTTTTATTCTCCAGCTCCGACTCTAAATCATCGTGATTCTCCGAGCATGGATCAAATCGTGCTTTCTTGGGGTTCTCTAGTGCCTCCTGCGTATATTAACAGTAGAAAAGCTTTAATAAAAAGAACCATATTCCTAACTTTTTCGTTCTTAAGAAGATAGAGAGAAGCTGATAGTTTCAGCTACAAAAATGGATTTTTTTTTAAGCCGTTTTGTAATAAACATTTCAGAATAATTTTTAGAACAAAATAAAAAAATCTGTCTGATTATATAAGTTGAAAAAAGTTTGAGTGAAAAAAAAAAAAATCCGTTGACAGCTATGGTAGCTAGTAATTAATGGTGATAGTTTATGATAGTTAAGTGTGCTTTGAAAACAAAAAATAGATAAAAAAAATTTAAAATGTTTTCATGTTATTTTTAAAAGCTAAAAATAATAATAGTTCGAGAAATATTTAAATTTAAAACACTTATCCAAATGATTTTTTTATTTTTTGTTTTTTGTTTTTTAAAAACAGAAAAACAATTTTTAAAAACAAAATCAGTCATGCCCTTAGTCATGTGTTTAAGTCGTGGAACAGAATAATTCTGACCAAAAGGAAAACGGTTGAAAGAAATACTAACAGGCTCATCAAATAATTTCTCCACCATTTCAAAATTGACTTTGGAGCTAAGCCTCTGCAAAAATAAATGTCATTTGTTATAGACAACCAGTTTCAGAATAACCAGAAAAATTAGCATAAATCATATCATTGGTGACTGATCCAGTTACTGAATTGCATATACAGGATAAAATACACATGATAGAGATCACAGTCGGATGTAAATACATCCTTGACTAATTAGAGGGGAAAGAATCAAGCGGCAACCCCAAATACCTAAGGAGCACGAGAATCCAATTCCAAAGTCCAAACTAAACCAGAACTTGTATTCTTACTCTCAGTCACTATTCAATATTTGGAAAGAACATGCTTTTGCCATTCTTTTGCAATAATTTATTTCCATATTACATCTAAACAGGGTACTATAGCACACACAAATTTCTATTACAATACAGGAGAAATGCTTGGAAATTACAACCAGAAAATGTCGTGAACAGTGAGACCTCAGCCCCATATTTTTTTTTAGAAATCAGTGATAACATGGGTTGGAAGTTATAGTACTTTGATGATAGATCAACCGTTCAGAGGCCAAATCAAAAATAGATTATAGCCACTCCAATTTAATCTTTAATTATAAAGAGCTTGCAACACTGCATTACTAACTTCCATTTGTCTGTCTCTATTCATTCAGCAAGTTAAAAACTCTCCCATTTGTGCTGTGTGCTCGTAGACTTAGGTCTTTTCCTTCCGTACCGAAACCAGCACAAAGAATGGAAACTACGTATTAATCACTTCCTTAGAAGTTGTATAACTAGGAAATGGTTAGCATAATTCATAACTAGAACAACTATAGCATGTAGAACGAAAAAGAACAGTAGTACAAAGCTCCTCTTATTTTTCCCATTTTCAAGTTTGCTTGAGACATGAACATATTAAATCTAATACAAGAAACAATTAATGATTAATAATAACAAAGAAGAAAAAGATGACTTCCGTTAAATATAAAACATCTGTTGAAAAGAAATAGCATGATACTTGATGAGCATTATTAAATAATTAACCTTTTTCCCCAACGAGAGAGCGGCCTTTGGACCCAGCTGGACAGAACCTGAACTCTTTGCCGCTTGTCCCTTTTTCTTTCCCTACAAATGTGTGTTTAAAACAAGCCAGTTTTTTCTTCAGCTCAAAACAAACCATAGTTTTGAAATCTTGCCGTCAACTATGCTTATGCTGATCAATTGATACTACAAAGGTAAAATAATAAGGGTATGTGTAACCACTTGAACAGTACATTCGAGAATTTATACAATTTTTTTTTTTTGTGGGGGGGGGGGGAGAGCATCTATGATTGAAATAGTTTAATTACATCTGCAAAATACATAAATAAATACACAGATAGATAAAAAAGACTATTTTGATCCGCTTCATTAGCTAACAACCTTGATATCATCTGTAAACACACTGGCTGAGTTCTACAAACATATACACAAAGACGTGTATTATTAATAATTCAACAAGTAATTCCTATATTTTGCTTCTTTCCCTGCAAATGTGTATTTAAAACAAACCATGGTTTTCTCTTCAGCTCAAAACAAACCATAGTTTTAAAATCTTGCCGTCAATTATGCTTATGCAGATCAATTGATATTAGAAAGGTAAAATAATAAGGGTATGTGTAACCACTTGAACAGTACATTCAGGAATTTATACAATTTTTAGGGGGGGAAAAAAGGCATCTACGATTGAAATAGTTTAATTGCATCTGCAAAATAAATAAATAAATACACAGATAGATAAAAGGGAATATTTTGATCCGCTTCATTAGCCGAACAACCTTGATATCATCTGCGAACACACTGGCTGAGTTCTACAAACATATACACAAAGACGTGTGTATTATTAATAATTCAACAAGTAATTCCTATATTTTGCTTCTTTCTTCTGAAACCATTTCTTAGAGCGAAAACAAGAACAGGCAAGATATTCTGCTTCTGCCATTCCATTCTCATCAACTTATACTCCCACAATCACTTTTCAAAGTCTTTCTTTTCCATCTCAGCGTTCATTTTCATGAAACACTAAGTCTAACTTCTAATACCATAAAAGGTTCAAAGTTCAAACCAGGATTTCTTCAAGATCTAAAAGTAATGTTCAATAAGTTCAATAACAATGTATAATCGACATGATTTTCAACTCAACAAAGTATACTGGCAAAACCAGTATTACTGAAAGACAGACTCTTAAATCACTGGGTTAAAATGCCAGAGTAAATTTTGAAAAAAATGTCCTTTTAAAGTTATTGTTGCAACTGTAATTTACTGTTGCATTACTGAGAACTCATAAACAATTGCACCAAATGAATCTTACAATAAAAATTTAGAAGTCACCTTTTGGGATTTTGCTGCAAAAGCAGTTCCCAGCTCTCTTGATGCTAGCAAACCATCAAAACCCCTTTTTGCAGCCGCTTCCTTGGCCGTTTGTTCCTGTAAAAAGAATTTCAGAAAGAAATTAACCTCCAAATAAACGAACGTAGAATGCCGTCAGGGAAAAACACACTGCAATTGTAAGCAATAAACTTCTGGTACTTGAGTTTAAAGAATAACCAAGCATGAAAATCAACCATGGAACATTGTCCACCGATATATAAGAAAAGAAAGACGTTGATCGAATCATATTTACCTTAAGATAATCTCGGTTCAGTTTTTCCCATATAATCTTCTTGTATCGCCTCTCCTCCTCATTGTGAAGGTAGAGATCAATCTAAGGAGCATGCAACATTTTAGCAGGGAAAAAGTCAGGGTTAAACAAGTCGACAACCTGTTAAGGACATTAGAGAACATTGACATAATATGCATAAGCATCATTGAGAGTAACTATGATTAAGGGCACAATTATAATCAGAAATAAACGTGGCCAAGGTAAACATCAAGATACAAGACTAAGAACTTAAAAGCCTTGAATCAAAAGCTAAATAGTTTATATGAAGCAGGTTCCATTTGAGAGTTTAATTCAGATTTAAATTGTCCTCCCTTTTCACTAATCAGTTCATATCACTGAAGCAGCATAGTTTAGTTTGCAGGTTTTATAGGCTCATTTTTGGCAGGTTTTAAGCCTTGGATGCTTGGCAGAAGTCCAGTTGTCTAGGGTTTATTCATTGTTCAGTGATGCAACCCTTTTGAGATAATTGCCCTTGAAAGATCAATTAGACTTATGTCTTACGAAGCATATAAATTTTCTATTTATCCGGTTCTTGTCAGGAACAAATAAGTTTTAAATATCAAACTTAAGAATGGGTGATGTATTTTCTTTCACATAAGAGAACTAGGGTTGCCTTAGAAAACTAAGTTTTTCCCAATCAATGCTAATTTAATTTCTTAATTCGGTCTTTCTTCTAACTGAAAGAAAAAAAGCACTCCAAATAGTCAACACCTGGTTTATGAAAGAATTAAATATCATCCATCAATCAGTCAAACAAATTATTGCACGAACAGTTTTTCCAAACTAAATGAAAAGCAGTGCATTGGAACTCTAATGGAAGCAGAAAACCATGACAATTTAAATTGCACGTGACAGAAAAGGAATGGAACTTGTTGAGCACCTCCAGATCATCAATGTCAGAGAGACATTCTGATTCATCATGTGTTCTCATATTCATGTCATTTCTATTTGATTCACTGTCTATAGTGGTTGCATGCTCAACATCAACTCCTGAAAGCGCTTTAGGAAAATTATGAATGAATAATTGAAGGTAGAGAGCAGAATACTTCTAGTAGTGCACACACACACACACATACACACACAGAGGCACTAACCAGTGCTTTCATGTCCATAAGTACTTGATTCTTTTTTCTGGCTTGCGCATGCAGCATTCAATGATTTATTCAACTAACCAAAAGAAAGGTAAAAAATACATAAAATTATGAGGTTTAATTAGCAGATGGCTCTACCAATTTGTAAGGAGGAAAAAGAGACAGTATGCAGGAATTGATGTTAGATGCTCATATATATAGCTTGAGCAAGGAAGGAGTCTTTTAAGGACTATGCCAAAAAAAACAAAAGCTTCTCAGAAGCAATGCTGCATCAGACGAGAAGATAAGGTGTTGCGTGATAGGACATCTTTTATGCTGTTGTTGCATCTTTTGGCTGTTTTACCTGGAATTCGTAGACAGATTAATTTGTCTTCTCCAAGATAACACTGACATTTGATGGGACTAAACTGGAATTTGTCAAAGCATCTTTAATCTTTACAATGATTATGTTATTGATTAGCTTGAGTTCTCTTTTTTGTTTCTAGTACTTTTCAAGTTATATGATCTCGGGGTAGCAGCTTTACTACAATGTTAATGCAAGTAGTTTAGAAATTTTTTATTGCCAAGAAAGTGAAAAAGAAGCATGCGTACACTACATGTAAAAGGAAATGCATATCATCCAAGAACTATAGTCATTGTGTACTTACATCACTTGATTCATTGGCACATGCCTGAGAAAGTGATCTTGCCATTTTCTCCCTCTGAGCACGCTGGAAATACGGAGGATCTACCAGACTGACCAGAGTCTTGTAAACTATGCCAAACAATAAAAAGGACAGCATGAGTTAAGACAGGACAACTCCATGTTAATTAGGACAGCTCGCAGAGCGTGCCACTTTAACATGCAGACCGGATACGAATCAGCGAATTAAAAAAATTAATCAAGCATTCCCAAGACACCATAAATGCAAATGTACAAGATTATCCGTAACTTATTATATTACAGAACAGATTTAGATATAGAGCATCCCCACAGAACAGATTGACATGAATAAGCTTCCTACATCAGTTGGAATCATCAATAACTATGAAGACAAGATGAATTGGCACCAGCAGAGCAGACACGCAGATTATATTTAAAGCATGTGGATTATGGCATCAGAATTTCATCATCTACGCCGCAAATTGTAAGTTAAGAATAGTGTGTACGGACAGGAACGCCCCCGGAACAATGACCAGCCAGCACTACAGAAAAAGTTATGTTGATGATCTAAGCGTGATATCGTGTCTAACAGAGCATGCTTCAAAGATTCTAAGCACATTACATGAGAGTTTGAACTGAGATTCTAATCGGAAGTATTCTCGGAGAGATGAGAGCGAATATGTTTTTATCGAGGTTGAAAGCTGGATCTTCGAAAAAAAGGACGGCAGTCGCGATCAAGGGTTGTTTTTTGATCGTTAGGGCAACAATTTGAAAAGGGCATCCGCGACGTAGATATCTACACCGGAATGTTATTAACGTAAGAGCGCTGCGTTGAAGCCTCGCATAAAAAAAAAAAAAATTAATCACTGTGAGTTCGTCTTATATAAATTGTTAACAAACTTCACAGTAATCAATTTTTTTAAAAAATAATTTTTTAATTTTTTAATTTTTAATTCATTTGTAATTCAGTTTTTGATTATAACTTACTATAACTCAGTCCTTTAATTATAACTCATTGTGACTCCGTTTTTAACTTTTAATTCACTTATAATTCGGTTTTTATTTTTTAATTTTTTTTAAAAAATTCCTTGTCAAATAAAATGAATAAAAGAAATACTTATATATTATTCTAAAATATCCTCCTCTTGCTCTATAATGTGAGATTTAAGCTAACATACAAAAAATTAACAAAAGTTAAGGTACTGAATTATAAGTACAAAAGTTGATGGATTGAATCATAGGCGAGTCATAATTGAAAGATTGAGTTACAAGTGAATTAAAAATTTAAGGACTAAAAGATTAATTTTTTTAATTTTTTATATAGAACCTGTATGTAATTTTTTCTTAAGCATATTTCTATTGTCCAACCTCTTAATCTTATGGTATGTTTGGTTTGAGAGAAGGGGAAGGGAAGGATTTTAATGAAGGAAAGGGGAGGGATTTGATGTTACCTTATTTAGTTTAGAAGAGGAATGAAGGAAAAATAATTATATATAAACAATTTTATCCTTATTTTATTAGTGTTTAGATACTATATAAGCATATTTGCATTTTTTTTTACATTTATCATAGAGGGCATATTGGTCAGGGTATGATATATTTTATCCCTTCCCTCCTAATGCCCCTAATTTGGAGGGGGGCAAGGGAAAAAATTTGCCCTCTCCTCCCTTCCAAATTTTAAAGCTAAACAAGGAGTGGGGGACAATATCTCTCCCCACCTCTCCCCCTTAACCAAGCACTCACTTAATACAAATAATGATGTTATATGTTGGAGGCCTTTAAATGATAGTTTCTTTATCAAATTAGCTTACAAGGCAATTGAAAATCATTCTGACAATATTAACTCAAAGATTTGGTCAAAGATTTAGAAATGGTCAACTTATGAGAGGATCAAAACCTTCATTTGAAAAGCTACTTGGAATCAAATTCAACTTAATTCACATATTAGGGAGCAATAATTGTCTCAGGATATGCTTGTTTGATTGCAACTCTTTAGACTCAACCATTTGTGTATTCAGAGATTGTAAGAAATCTAGAGAGGTTTGATTAAAATTATTAAAGCAATCTAAAATTAACACATTTTTCTCTCCCTTTGTAGGATTAGATAACTTGAAATGTTGAGAATGATGTAGCTAATGCTTGTGCAAAAAAGACCTATTGGCAAAGACTCTTTAACCACATGTGATAGAACATCTAGAAAGAAATATGCAAAAATATTTATTTCAAAGAAGAAATTCATGACAAAGATATTGTTTTCACTAGTATTAAAAATATTCTTATCGATCAACCCCTCCAATAATTGACTTTCTGACTCAAAAAGGTGATAGAATAAAAGCTAAATGGCTCCTCCTTAAGGAAGGATGGATTAGGTTTAATGTAAATGGCTCCATCAACATTCATAGTGAAACTTCTTATGGTCGTCTCATATAGGACAAATAAGACAATTGGATTAAAAGTTTTTCTAAATATTTAGAATATCATCCAAGTATAATAATTGAACTTATGAGCATCTTGAAAGGATTTAATATTTGTTGGGTTGGAAAGTTTGACAAAATTAATGTTTACTTCGACTCTATTGAAGTTCTTTCATTGATTCACAATGGATTCTTTACCGATTACTCACTTTCTGCTACTATTAGCAAAATCAAAGATTTCATTATGAGAGACTAGACTATCACCTTTTACCATGTCTTTAGAGAAGTAAATTAAATAAATGTGCTGACTAATTGACTCACTGAGCTTTTATTAATAATTTTAATGTTAATATTTTTGATACTATGCCTCTTGGTTATAGAAATTTTCTGCATGCTAATATGATTCATCAAGTAGGTTAGCACAACACAATTTATTCACGGCCTTCCGTTCAAAATAATAATAATAATAATAATAAAGCATCCACGGTGGAGCCCTTTTGGTTTCCTAAGAATAATCAAGAGCCGAACCGAACCAACCCTTTAAATTGTAATTTTTATTTATTTTAATCCCAAAAAATGATGTATGCTCTCCCTCTATAATATATGGTGCTTTCTATTAGCTTCATTTAATTTAAAATGCAAGCTATTGAATGGATTTTATAGTTTTTTTTTCAATTATATTTTTATTTCATTATATTTTATTCAAATGTTAAAGGAAAAAAAATACCTGAAATTTGTTTTTTCAAGACGCTTGACATTCTAAACTTTTTTTTAAGTACTCTTGCTCCAAAAGCTTCAAAAATGGAGCTTTTTTGCCCATTTGTTAAAAATAGCAAACATTGACCTTTAGATTGAAGTTTAATCAATGATATTTTTGTATTTTTGTCCCTCCTTTCTTTTATGTTTAGTCTCAAATTTCATTTTTCATAGAATTCTTTAATTTTTTTCTTTCAACGAATGAAAATGAAGATTAAAAAATATAAAAATAAAAGAGAGCAAAATTTTAAAATATCTTGATCAAATTTCAGTCATCGATCAATGTTTATAATTTTTAATGGTGGAATTAAAAAGTTCTTTTTTTTTTTAACCTTTGGTGCTGAAAGGTTTAGGATCATAGGATAGGTGTCAAGAAAAAAAAATTTAAGATATTTTTACCATTTATTCAAATCATTAATTATAAAGTTTTAAATAATTTAAATATTATATTTATTTTACTTAAAATTATGATGAAAAGATGTAAAAAAATGTTTAGAAAATTAATATTTTAATAAATTATTTTTGAAAATCATAAATTAATTAACAGTAACTTATATTATATTTCAAAAACAATATATATATATATATAATATAATAATATAATATAACGACCGGGATATTTAAACTTTTGAGAACAATTTGATTTCTAAAAGATATGACATCCGATAAAATTAAAACGATAAGAGAAGATTAGCATGATCCTTATGCAAGAATGACATGCACAAATCGAGAAATGGTGCAAATGAAAAAAGAGATAAGGTACAGGTGGTATTTACAATATTATATTTTGTATTTTAAAAATTTTATTCTTAACCTAACGTTTATTCACTGAAAATGGAGAGCCTCTCGCGCTTGTGATTGTGTTAATTACGAGTTTGAACACGAAATGGCTAGTGTAACATCCCAATATAAATTTTAATAGTTAATTTGGGTTAATAGGAAATTAAAAAAAATAATTTAAAAAAAATAAAAAATAATAATAATAAAATAATATTATTAAATTATTATTATAATATAAAAAAAAGAAGGTGTAAAAACAAGAAAGAAAGGAAGAAGAAGAAGAAAACGAATTTGCTTCGTCCGCCGCCTCAACAGTAACAATAATAAAATAATAATAAAAAAAAAGAAGAAGAAGAGAGAGAAAATAATTAAAAAAAAATGTGGGACCCACTGAATTTTTATAAAAACTCACCTGTTCCTTCATTTCTTCATTCCTTCTTTCATGCGTGAGCTTCGGCAGAGAGAGCATCTGTGAGCCAAATTCACCGGTGCTGGGTTTTAAGGTAAGAGTTTTTAATAAGATATTTAGGATGTGATTTTAAGCTTTTCAAGACTAAGTAAGTGTTCTAAATTTTTTTCTTAGTCATCCTTTTTCTTTTGTTTCTGAGTTTGTAGTGGTAGAAAATTTAAGATCTGGAAGAGGGATAAATTTATGTTGAATAAATATAGTTTTTGAGGTTGTTAGTAGTATAATAAATATTCTAGAGTATAAATTTATTGGTGATCTTTGAATTTGTGGCTTATGGATCAACTTCTAGACTAGATCTGAAAATATATGTTGATTTATTGAGGTTTAGATGATTATTTGGGATGAAAAATAAATTATTATGGTTATAGGATTATGATTCTAAACTAGAGACTCAATTTTTAATTTTTGGGTATTTTAGGTACGAATTTATAAAATAAAAAGAAAATTTTGATAATAGAAATTAGTTTAAAATTTGATTTTTAGATTATTAATGTTTATTGATAATTAAAAGAGGAGTTAAAAATTATACTTAATAGTATTAACTATAGATTTGTATTAAGATTGAGATTAGGAATTATGTTATATTTTTAATTCTATTATTAGAATTATTTTATTAGTTTCAAAAATTGAAACTAATATTTATAAATAATATGTTATTTGTAGATTGTATTACTGGTGAAGATTGTGGTGAGAGAGAAATTTTAAGGAATAATTTATTGAAAAAGCCACAAGGTAACCATGCTTTTAATTTGTGATTTGTGTTACTTCATGTTAATTGGGTGATTATTGAGAAAATTATAAATTTTGTAATATTATATAATTGTGCAATATTATTATGAATTTATTTGATTATTGTGGGAGGTGTTGGGAGACTTGTTATTGTTGTTATATTTATGTGCCACGTGGTACGCCCCTATTGGAGCTCAATAGGTGGTTTGTAAGGGCTCGGGCTAATCTACCTTTGGCCGGGTAATTTAGCACCGAGTGAGGGCTACGGCTCGAGGTTAATGGAGGGATATAAGGATGGTTGTTTGTGTGTATTGTAATATTTCATATATTTGTTGGAATTATATTATTTTTAATTCTCACTTAGTAAGCATACACTTAACTGTTTGTATACACTATCATAAATTGGCTTTGGCTACTGGGACTTTTGAGTCTCATTATGTGGTTAACAATTTTCAGGAGAAGAGCCACGAGTGACACGTGGAGGAGTCCCAGAGGCTTAGTGGTATAGATCCACTGTCTCTTTTGGGTATTTAATTTATGATTTATAATGTGTTATATTGCCAATATTAGGGCTTTTTGTTTATTGTCAATTATATGAATATATAAATGTAATCATGCCTTTCAAACTATTTCTATTTTTAGTACAATTTGGATGACTGTAATTTTAATATTTGGTTTACTTTGGATTGGTTAAAATGGCATGATTATAAGGCCAAATAACTGGTTTGTGTTGAAAATTTATTAAATTGCTTATTTTACTTGTTGGGAGTATAAGGATGGACAAATGTGATTTAGTTTACTTGTTGGGAGTATAAGGATGGACAAATGTGATTTAGCCTAACGGCATGTGGGAGGTAAAAATTTATCTGAAATGTTAATTATAAAATATTTGATATTAAAATTATTGATATAAAAATGTGTTGGGTGGCTGTAACCCAACTATGGTTGAGTTAAATTATTTAAAAAAAAAAAAATTTTAGTATATTACAGCTAGTCATTTGTTAGCGTTATATTTTAGAATCTATTGTAATTGACTCTCGCCTAGGAAATGATGTAGTAGTTTTTTAGGAGCATGGCTTAATTTAAAAATCAATCCCAAGTATAATCAAAAGGATTAATTGTTTGTTTAAACTCCACGAAACAATATTTTCTGGCCTATATACAAGATTGGAGGATATAAAAGCATAGTTGTAAAACTCTATGCTGTTACTGTAAATCCTAAATCCTAAACTTTCTAAAAAAACTTTGGTAGTTATTTATGATTTTAAAAATTTACGGTATAATTAATTTCTTTTCATGATCCATATTAATTTCCCGGTGGACACATTAGTAGCAAATCACCCACAATCAGTTGCAAATATGAAAATCAAGTGAGTTATAAATATTAAAGGTTCTCCAAACTAAACCCACTCGTAAATGTTTGGAGTTCAGTTGTAAAAAATGAAAGATTAGATACAAATGAATTTTAAATTAAACTTTTAAGATCTTAAAACTTTCATGACTTACTGATGATCTGTTATAACTAAACTTTCAAAATTTACTAACCGAGCTTCTAGAATTTATAAAGCTTTAATAAATTACAATTAATTTGTAAATGATCTTCTTAGGTACACAGTTGAGAGTTCGCAAGTTAAAACTCACGTCATATCATTTGCAACTGAACTATGTGCTAATCATGCATGTGCATTTTCGTCCATAAAGCTTTGATTTTTTATTTTTTTACATTAAAGTCAATATATCTTTTTATTAAAGATAATTCTGTGCAAAAAATGGTGTGGTAGATCACGGTGGGAAACTAAACTAACCATGTAATCTTAAAAATTCATGATCATTTAAAAATTAAAATAAGGGCATTTACTCCACCTTTCACCTCCTTTAATTTGTTAAGGTCTCCTGTTGCCATCGAACGTTGTTGCACGCCATCTTCCTCACCATCACATCTCTCTCACAAGTTGATATGCTTGCTGTTGCATTTTGTTCTCTCGGTTATCTCATATTGCAGATTATTGTTGCCCGATATTCTGAATGTTTTCCATTCATTCTTAGCTCGTTGCATTGCTGCTTTTTAGATGAGCATATGGGATTTTCAATTTCTCCTTAGCTTTTATGGGTTTGCGAGTTCTTTCTTTCATATTATTTCTCTTGTAGAACTTCTTCTTCCACACCTTGCTTAGCATTCGTTTGTTTACATCTTGTTGGAAATCTAATATTAATTGCTTCTAATTTCTCAAACTTTGGATATTCATTTTGTCAATCATATGCCCAAAAAATGCCATTAGTTAAACAAATTTAAAAAAAAAATCTTTCCATGATCGTCGGCGTTGATCACTAGCCGGCCGACGAACAATGGCAGCGAAAGCTGACCGGCAGTGGTGCCATTGCAGCTTTGGCATCCCGTTGGTGACAACAACGGCAACCATGAGAAGAGCATTTAAATTTTTTAACAATAAGGATATTTTTGTAATTCCAGAGATTTTTTTTTTTCTTTTGCAGTTAAAGCTTATGAAACCTGTGCGTGCTTTTCCCTTGAAATAATTAACTGCCTCCCACGATCCTTGTGCCATTGCGATGTGATGTGAATATACTTGGTTTTGGAAAAATGACATAGAGATTTTTAAAAAAATAATTAATTTAATTTAAGTTTGAAGTGTCAACTTTTAAAAATTTATAAATTTTTTTAATTTTATAATTTTATTGTCATAAATTTATAATTTATTTTTTAAATTTTAATATAGTTGAAGAATAAATAAATTTTTTTTATCATTAAAAATTTAGAATATAAGTTACAAATTCATCATAATAAAATTATAAAATTAAAAATTAAATTTGCAAATCCTTAAAAGTTGATAATTGAACCTAATTTAAATTAATTGTGTCTTTTAAAACCCTTCTATCATTCTCTCTCTAGTTTTTTACCCATAAAATGTAGAAGCTTAGTTACAAAAGTTGAATTTTGGCCCAAAAAGAAAACAAAAAATTAAGAAAGAATGACAGTTAGGTCATAAATAAATGAATAATAATAGTTAAGTTTTTGATAAATTTAAAAAAAATAAATTAAAAATATCGATTTAAATGATTACAAATTTAATAATTTTAATTATAAATAAATATTTAAATATCAAATGTAACTCTTAAATTATAATAAAAAATTTTATTTATAATTATTTAAATTGATATTTGTAATTATTTTGAAAAACATTTTACCCAAAATTGTATAACCTAAATATCATTCTCTCAAGTTTTAATGAGTTGTTGCAACTTTTGAATTGCAAACCCTCTGAATTTGACCTATATGCAATGATTAAAAAATCAAACCACATTGATTTAATTGTCAATAGGTCTAGATTTTGGCTTAGTCAACATACAAAAATTATTTTGGGGTTGAATCGGGTTGGATCATTTTGAGCCGGTTGTCGGACTAAGAATCATAATCAAGTTAGAAATTGGATCTGATTTTCAAAAATTGAACTGTTTAAATTTGATCAATTTTTTTAGAAAATGACAAAATTTTTTAATTATTTAATATTTTATTATATCATGTGACTTGTTAAGACATGATAAAATTAAAATATTTAATTTTATTTTTAAATTAAATAATAATTTTATATTTATATTTTATATTTAAATCATTATATATATTTATATATATATAATTTTTTAATTTAATTATTATATTATTAATTTGATTATTTATTCAATTTAATTAAACTATGTGAATAATAAATTACTAACTTTGTAAATTTAATTTTTAATTTGGTTTTGAAAACATTGCCCATATGGCTATATGAGTATATGACATAGTAAATTTATTTTAAAAAAAAAAAAAAAGAAAACAGACCAACATAAAAGCCCTAATCCTCTGTGCACAGTCGCGCCCTGAGCATTGTTTTCGGCGGGGAGTTCTTGTGGCTTCCTCTTATCATAGTAACAATGGCTGAACGTGGCGGTGGCGGAGATCGTGGCGGCTTTGGCCGAGGCTTTGGTGGTCGTGGAGGACGAGGCGACCGCGGCCGTGGAGGCCGCCGCAGGGGCGCTCGTCGGGAAGAGGAGGAAAAATGGGTTCCCGTGACTAAACTTGGCCGTCTCGTCAAGGAGGGGAAGATTCGTAGCCTCGAGCAGATCTACCTTCACTCTCTTCCGATCAAGGAGCATCAGATCATCGACACCTTGGTTGGTCCTAGCCTCAAGGACGAGGTCATGAAGATCATGCCGGTCCAGAAGCAGACGCGAGCCGGTCAGAGGACCCGGTTCAAGGCCTTCGTTGTCGTCGGTGACGGCAATGGACATGTGGGGCTTGGCGTGAAGTGCAGCAAGGAGGTCGCTACGGCCATTCGCGGCGCAATTATTTTGGCCAAGCTTTCGGTTATTCCGGTGAGAAGAGGCTACTGGGGTAACAAGATCGGGAAGCCTCATACAGTTCCCTGCAAGGTTACTGGAAAGTGCGGTTCAGTTACCGTGCGGATGGTTCCTGCCCCCCGTGGTGCAGGAATCGTTGCTGCTAGGGTGCCAAAGAAAGTATTGCAGTTTGCAGGAATCGAAGATGTCTTTACTTCTTCTCGAGGGTCGACCAAGACACTTGGGAATTTTGTCAAGGTTTGGTCTCTAATTCACTTTTAATTTATGCTTTTGATTGAATTCAAATCCAATTCTTGATAAGATGTTATTTCATACTGATTTACATGCATTCTAGACTTTTAGTATATTGGTAATGAAGCCATGCAATAAATAAATAAATAAAATAACGCATGGCCAAATTAGTTTACCTGGATTAAGCGAGTGCGCGAGAAGGTGTAACCTTTGCGCAAGACTATGTAGAAATTAGATGTTGAATTTTTTTTTTTAATAGAAGAACTGAGTCAAATTTTGTGATCAGGAATTTTTCTGAAGCAGTGTTGATGTTTAAGACTCGAGAGTGGTTTTGCTTGAAAGGCTTTCACATCTATATCTAAAATCATGTCGGCTTATACTGCAGCCAACGCATGTACAGATGGAAACATCAGTTTTTATTCGAGCTTAACCTGAGTCTGGGGATTTTTTTATCTGTGAGGAGTTGGCCCTAGATGCAAATGGTTATTGTGAATACATTCTGCTAATAAGACGGATAAGCCGGGTTTGATATTGCAAGTCTTTGCGGAGTGCAGGTTGTGTAGTTTCTCGGCTTGGTAGTTTAAATGACATTTCGGAAGTGTCTCTGGAGTAACAAATCTTTGTTAGATATTATAAGTGAAAATTAATCTATAATAGTTGCAGTTATCGATAATCATCATGTCATGTCTTGCAACTTGCATCGCATGTTATTTAAATGTTGGTAATGCTTTATGTTTCTGCAGGCTACATTTGATTGTTTGCTGAAAACCTATGGCTTCCTAACTCCTGAATTTTGGAGGGAAACCCGCTTCACCAAATCTCCATTCCAAGAGTATACTGATCTATTGGCAAAACAAACTGGAAAGGCTCTAATCCTGGAGGATGACAGAGGGGACGCTTGAGATGGCACCTTGGAGATCTTCACATTTTCATGTTATGAGACGTAGTGGATCCTAGGAAATGTTTGGATAGGAACTGGTAATTAATTTTTTTGCTGCTTATGTAGTTTCCCTTTTTTAATCTTTCTCGAGGGACCGTTTTTCATGCATTTGCTTGTTTCTAAGTTTCAATTTAAGGGCTATTCACTGAGTTTGAAATACAAGATTATTCATCCTGAATTTAGAGAATAATTCATATGCTCAAATATCTCTCTCTTTTGGCAAGTCCTGCTTCCTATCTAACCCAGGTCGCCTTCTTATCCACATTAAACAACCATTCTAACCACATTAACTTTTAACAAAACTTATCAAATGACGAAATTGCAGTATACTTTTTACAACCATCGACTCAATGAAATGAATGGATGGTCGTTCACTTGCATTGCTGTCTGTGAAAATTTCTATCGGAGAGAATCTTAGCTAGCAACTTTGTTAGCCTCCTAGAGGCCAGGCCGGGACTCAGTGCCTCTAAATTCTCAGTTCTTAGACCAGAACATGACCTGTTCTTTGCGCCCTGGGAGCACCATCCCCCGAAAGAAAATTGACCATGGTGCCTCCTGAGAAGCTCTCTATCAATTTTATCCAGCACAGGATCATTCTTCTTGAATTTTCTGGCAAATGGCCGGCTGCTCAGCACCATTTTCCGATAATCTCGGATTCCAAGAGACCTTGGGTGTTGTTTTGGAGGGTTGTCCCAAGTAATGTAGTGAAGGTCATTGTTGGCAGTGGTGTTCTTGTATTTAGAGTTGCATATTACTGTCTGGAAATAGCCTTCAGGGGATGATACAAAGTTAGTGTAGTAGAGGAGGAGGGTCCTTGGCAGATTGTCCCACCCCACGATGCAATATTCAGCAAAAGATCTTGATAGCATTGTCCACGCAGAACCTGTCTTTGGGAAGCCAATCAGAATCATATTTGCACGACACTAGTTCGTGGGGTGTTCAGTTGTCAAGCATTGAAAATTGATTTGTATTAAAATATTTAACAACCGAACGAGACATGGTATAAAAATTCAACCAAGCCAACCAAATTATTCGGCTGGCCTAATTTTGTAGGCTTTTGTTCATGACTATGTACATGTAATGTCACACGATATCAATCAATTTAAAATAAATTATTTAAAATAAATTATAAATTCAATACTAAACAACATATCCAACGACTTGAACAAATGCCATTTACATTGTCCCTGAAATATCCATTAGGTTTTTATGCATGTCACACATTTTTCCTATTTCAAAAATAGGCTACGTCTTGAAATTCTGGTTTTGATTCGATTGTTTTAAGTTGTGCATAAGATACTCGAAAGTCAAAATTGAACTAAACGGACTGAAGTATTATTTTAAAAAAAATTCGAAGCAGACTGGAAAAAAGATCGAATCTAAGTTAATTCCGTTCAGTTTTCGATTTCAGTTCAGTCTTGCACAGCCTAATCTGTTTTGGTAATGGAAACAGGTACGTCAAAACTCAAACATCACTCTTGTTGATTGCATCCATGCTGGTTGGATTTTGCTGTGTGAATGGAGAGGTGGTGGGATTTTACTGGGCCGACATATTTAGGTAAAGTTGTGGAAGCAAGCACATTATGGCCATGAGAGCCCAGCTAGCAGTACCCTTCCATGCATCAACCATTTAATGGTCTTCCATGAATGATGGTCCCTGCCCTTCGCCATCACACCCAGTGAAAGGGACATTTCTGTCAGCCAGCTACATTGACGATTAATCCCTCAATTATAAAATTCTGTCCACTCCATAACTTAGGATTGATTCTATGTTTGATGGTTTGTGTTCTGTTATCTGAGATTATTAGTCCTTCATCAAGCAAGGATTTTTCTTGGTAATTCAATCCGAACTGGCTTGAATGTTACCATTAATAGCATAAATCATAAGCTACATGATAAGAAGAAAAATACAAATGAACTATTCCTTGTATTTGATTGTTAACAAAGTTCAGAAGTTGGAGGAGAAAAACCTGCATATAGTTTAAAAGATGTTGGCAGACTCCTCTGCTTGGAGACCCACCAAATTTCTGATTTCTTGAGGCTATACAAACCTGGGTCTATAATAACTGGCTTCCCCCTCTTATTACTGAAATAGATATAACAAAATTCAGAAGTTTTGGGCGGAAAAATAAGGATCAAACAGAAACAGGGCTGCTTACAATTTCCAGCCTAAGTGACTGCTATGATGTATGAAATTGATATCTCTTGGCAACCCAGAAAAGGCTTGGATCAGATCTGAAGAGAGAAGTGATTCACCACAGTTTGAGTGCATATGCAGAATCAACATTAGTAAGACCGCACACAAATGCTTTCTTATATCCAATACTCATAAAAATTTAAGGCCACTCACCATACCATCTTGTGTAACTAAAGGGTAATCAGAGGCACTGAGATTGATAAACCAGTCCCACTTGCAAGTTCTCAGGAGTATTGCCATGGCATGAAGTGTGGTAGACAGCATTGTTGGTCCTCTGTAAGTCACCAAATTACGCTTCCCCACAATCCAGACATTACCCACTGCTCCAAAAACAGGATCGCTAGCCACAAACTCAATCACATCATTATGCTCCGCCTTAGGAGCCCCATAATCCATGTGAATCAGATAGTAATTTCCAGGATGGTACAATGCTCGCAGCAACCTCTTGAGCTTGCTGGAATCTCCTTTTGACGCAGAGATCAAGTAAGCAAAAGTGACTGGGTATGATGCTTTGCTGGTTCTTGAGATATTGAAGGAGCTCTTGATCACAGGCATGGAGGTGGAAATGGGCATGGTTAATCTTGTGGGAATATAAAGAAACAGGAATAATAGTGAGAATAGCATGAAGAAGATCATGAAAACTTTCACACCCATTTGAGAGAAAATTTCAGAGAAAGAAAGAGAAGGTGAAGAAGGGTGAGTGGCGACAAGAAAGAGGTAGTTAAATGGTTAATAGTGAAATAGGAGCTTGGTTAGAGTGAATATAATATAAAATGGGTGTGATGAGTAAGGTTTACATTTCTGGATTGGATTCGTTCCTTCAGACATAAGGAGACCATTAGTTAGTTTGAAGGGAAGAGAAGGATAGAGATTCCAGTGAGAGCATTATTGGTCTGCTTTAGCAAACAGGTAGAGACTCTTATTCTGACAGGAGCCTGAAGCTGAAGGAAATATTCCGGAAGAAGCACTTTTGAGCTTGTGAGGTTGAACCGTAATTATGGCCTTTGATCTTTATCTTTCAGTGCATGTGAGTACTGATGAGCCTGAATGGCCAGAAATGAAAGATTACTAGTTAGGTTATGCATTTATGTCTCACCAAACTAGCTCCACAAAGTCCCAGTCGGTAAGTTAAAGGTATGTGAGATCTGCTATCAACCCTACTATAATCATGGCCTCAAATCATTATCATCCATAATATTTATTTTCTCAATAAAAAAAGTTATGGAAATATTTATGTTGATGTGAATTATTTCTGTTGTTTCTTACAGTTTATAATAAATAAATAATAAAAATAGTTTCAACATCCCTTCTTATTTTAAGTCATGTGTATAATATTTAATGAAAGCTTTTTTTTTTTTGGGCCACCTGAAGCATTTCAATTTGATATTACACTTCATAATATAATTATAAAAAAAAAACTCTGTCCTGAATTACTCTAACATGTAATTTTCAAAAATTTAATCCATGTATACACCTCCACCACAAGATGGTTCTTAGTCACCAGAATAGGTGCCATGTCCAGTCTGATCACACCGTGGAAGGAGCTTTACTCTTTAAGGCGGTGGTGGAAATTATACAGGAGATAAATGATGAGAAAAAAATATAAGCTAATAATTTATATGAAGCGAAAATAAATTCTTATTCACTTGCTAAAAGCTTACAGGAGAAAATATAACAAATATATGGTAGAAATCAATAGTATATATTTGACTAGAGACACTAGAAATTATTAACATGGAAAACCCCTCAATGTAAGGGTAAAAACCACGGGTCGTCTAGACCAATGAAGAACAATTCCACTATGATCAAAATAGGATACAAGACAGTCTCAATCAAATGCACAAATAAGTGCAAACAACCAGCCAAAACACCAAATCAACAGGCTTATAAAAGAGGATGAAGAAGATGAAAAAACACTAAACTAGACGCTGTAGTGCAGAGAAAATTATCTCTCACACCAAGCAACACATTAGTGATCCCACCATTGAAAATTACACATTAGATATTGCAAACCAACTCACCAAATTTCATGTCGATCCAATGATGAAATAATTTGCAAACGTTTATTCACTGAGACTACTTTGTAAATGACTCTCTCTCTTCTTTCCTCTCAAATGGTTGCATATAAAACTGAATATGACCTATCTCACATTACCTAATCTGACCCCTCTCCACTTTACTTAGTGAAAGTCACAATGGGCTTCAATATTGGGCCTTTTATCATATAAGAAAGGAGCCCAAACCCAACATATCTCCCCTTCACGACTATGCAGAGATTACCATAAATCCGGCGATCTTACAACAAGCTTCAAACTTTTATATTTTTATTGCCTTAATCAACGTATCAGTAACATTTTCATCAATATGAATTTTCACCAAATCTAACAACTTAGCATTCAAAATATCATGTATCTAATGAGGACTTATATCAATGTGTTTGGACGTAGAATGGAAAGTTGGATTTCTAACAAGATGAATAGCACTCTAACTATCACAAAATAATGAGTATTTTTCTTGAGTAAAACCAAGCTCTTTCAAGAATCGTTTCACCATAACAACTCCTTACATGCTTTAGTAATGGCAATATACTCAGCCTCTATTGTAGACAAGGCTACGTACTTTTGCAATTAAGATTGCTATGCCACAACTCCCTTTGCAAATTTAATTACATAGCCCGAAGTAGACTTTCTAGATTCAATATTACTTGCCATATCTGAGTCTGTGTACCTCTCAAAGATAAGCTTATCACCTCCTAAACAAAGCCTCATACTAGTCGTACCGCAAATATACCTCAAAATCCATTTTACAGCTTTCCAATGCTCTTTACTTAGGTTAGACAAAAATCTACTAACTGTACTAATAGCACGCATTATATTTGGTCTAGTGTATACCATTGCATGTATTAAACTACCGACTACAAATGCATAACGGACCTTTTACATGTCTAACTTTTTTGCTTCATTTAAAGGACTTTGTTCAACACTCCATTTAAAATGAGTATCAAGAAGAGTGCTTACCAACTTAGCATTGTTCATTCTGAACCTTTGCAACACCTTTTCAATATAGTTTTCCTAAATCACACAAAATTCTTATACCAAGAATTTACTTTGTAGCTCCTATGTCTTTCATGGAAAATGACTTACCCAGTTGCTTCTTCAACCTATCAATCATGGAAACATTTTTTCCCAACAATTAGCATGTCATCAACATATAATAACAAGATAATAAAGTCACCACTAGAAAAATATTTAATAAAGACAAAATGATCAGAAGTAGTCTTCTTGTAGCCTTGCTCGCGTATAACAAACTCAAACTTCTTATACTACTACCTTGGATGCTACTTCAATCCATAGAGGCTCTTTCTTAGCCTACACATATAGTCTTCTTTGTCTTTAACAAGAAAAATTTCAGGTTGCTACATGTAAATCTCTTCCTCTAAATTACCATGGAGAAAAGCAGTCTTCACATCCATCTGCTCTACCTCTAAATCAAGAGTAGTATCTAAACTCAACACAATTCTAATAGATGACATCTTCACTATTGGCAAGAAAATTTCATTAAAGTCAACACACTTTCTTTGTTTAAAACCTTTAACCATCAATCTAGCTTTATACATTGGAGATGTATGATTACTTTCATGTTTCTTCTTATAAATCCACCTCTTTTGTAGTACCCTTTTTCCCTCAGGCAACTTCACCAAATCAAATGTGTGATTATCATGCAAGGATTTCATTTCATCTTGTATTGCATCGAGCCACTTTTGTTTTTCTTCATTCTCCATTACCTCTTCAAAATACTCAAGTTCTGCCCTATCAGTTAACATTACATACTCATGAGGAGAGTTCCTTTTAGATTGTTGTCTTTCCTTATTAAACCTCTTAAGTTGAATTTGAGGTAGTTCAAGTGTATTATCTAAAAAGACATCATGTGATTCATGTTGCTTATCAACATCATTTATTGGATCTTCAAACAAATCACCAAGATGCCAATAATCAACATTATCATGTTCCACACCATTCTCAACATTAGCATCTAGATTATGAATAGGCAACCTCACTTGGTTAAAATCAACTAGATTATCACCTTTTCCAAGTGTAGTCTTCTGCACCTTATCAATGTCATCAATAGTCTAGTCTTCTATAAACTGCACATCACAGCTTCTAACAAGCTTCTTCTCAATAAGATCATACAACATGTAGCCAAATTCATCCTAACCATACCCAATAAAGATATACTGCCTTGTCTTTGCATCCAACTTAGATCTTTCATCCTTTGAAAATGTACAAATTCTTTATAACCAAAGACTTGTAGATGATCATAACTAATATTTTTACTATACCAAACTTTATCCGGCATCTCACTATTCAAAATAATTGTAGGACTCAAATTGATAACATGCACAATTGTGTGCAATACCTCACCCCAAAAATGTTTGGGTAACTTTGCTTTAGAAAGCATACGCCTTACTCTTTCCATCAACATCCTATTCATCATCCTTGCTAAACCATTAAGTTGTGGAGTCTTAGGAGGAGTCTTCTAATGTCTAATATCGTATTGCTTACAATAAGCATCAAATGGTCTGCAATACTCACCACTATTATCAGTACGAATGCACTTAAGCTTCTTACCTAATTTCATTTCAACTAAAGTTGAAATTCTTTAAACTGCTCAAGCATTTAGTCTTATGTTTTCAAAGTGCAGACCCAAAGCTTCCTAGAACTATCATCAATAAAGGAAACAAAATAGAGAGAACCATTAAAGGTTTTTACCTTCAAAGGTCCACAAATATCAAAATGCACCAAGTTAAGCAACTCTAACTTCGTTAAAGGAGGATGCATCTTAATAGACACTCTAGTCTGTTTACCTGCCATGCAATGAGAACATTTCTCCAATTCTACACTCTTTATCCCAGGAAGTACATCCTTTTTGGCTAAGCAATTCAACCTTTTTTCACTAAAATGATTAAGCCTTCGGTGCCACAAATTCGATGCCTCCACATTAATAGCATTCACACTATCTTTAGCGGCCAAAGCTTTTGTCCAATACAATTTAGAGAAATTTTCTCCTCTAGCCGCAACTAGGTTACCTTTAGCGAGTTTCCACTTTTCAAAGCCAAAACAGTTATTAAAACTATTATTATTAAGTACCTGAATAGAGATCAAATTAAAACGAACATATGGAGCATGTTTGACTTCTCTAAGAAGTATCTTTACACTTATGTTGACTTCCAAACAAACATCACCAACACTAATCACCTTAGACAGGCCATCATTTACCAATCTTTAACACCTCAAATTTACAAAGAGTGTAAGATGTAAAGAACTCCTTCTTTGATGTAACATGTAATGTAGCACCACTATGTATTATCTACAATTCCACATACTCTCATCTGATACAAGATTAACCGTGTCATAATCACATAGAAGAACAAGATCATCACTAGTAGCAGTATGCTCATCATCATCTTAGCTCTTGTCATTCAGCTTACCCTTCTTACCATTATTCTTTTTTTTCCATTAAAAGCAATTCTTTTTAATATGCCCTGTCTTGTGACAACAATGACACTCTACATTCTTGTATTTGGATTTAGACTTACTCTTGCTCTTCTTTCTACCACCTTTCAGTTCTCTTTTTTGATTTCTCTCCCTATTTTCTATGACAAGCACCTCGTATTGAGATGAAGAACCTTGTGCCTTCCTTCTTATCTCTTCATTAAGAGTACCACTCTTTGCAATTTGCAAGGAGATAATACCATTAAGAGCTAAATTAGTTTTAGAAATTTGAAATGTCTCCCAAAACTTAAGTAAAGTGTTCAAAAGCCATAGTTTTAAAATCTCATCTTCAAACTTGATACCCATTATTGACAATTGATCTAGGAGCCCTTGAAATTCATTCAAGTGATAAAAAAAAAATGCAATTTGTTATTTCCTAACTTAGTGGCATACAAGGACTCAATCTTCTCCCATAAGGTTTTCGCATGTATATCATTAGCAATGTGGTTATAAACATTATCTTCTACAAATTATCAAATGAAATCGCATGCCTGTTAATGC